TATATAAGGAGGATCTTCTTCAAGTACTTTTTAAAACCATGTATACTTCTAAAGTATGATATTGGGGTGATTTTATTCCAGAGCAAAGGACCTTGATGTCGAACTGTTTTAAGAAATATTGCCATAAGAAGTTGTCATACTTCAGACCAGAAAAGTCAACAAACGATATTTCTTTATCAAGGAAATATAATGAATACAACTGAATTGTTGAACTTCGTTTAGAAACCTCAGAAGGAATTTTATGCTCTACTGTTATGTATGGGAGTGTGTTTTTTTTTATCTTCAAGCTCCTTTGGTGGGCCCAAAATTCAAATTAATTGCTAATATTTATGACCAGTTTCATGAGCATCTTTAATTCTAGTGAAGCATGACTTCTGATCAAGACAGACTGGGTGCATGCATGTCACCTGAAGTAGACATCTACTCGTGGCCCTATGTGGCACAATATAGATTTTCAGCATCCAGTAAGGACTGTTGAGTCCTCTCTTTTTCCCCATTTTTTTCAATTTTAGGGACACAAAAAGTTCTGTAATTGGAAGAACTGCAAGTGTGCCAACTGCCAGCTGGTCATGATGCGTCGGAAGCTGATGGCCCGGATGATTGCCCTCCACCGTCAGCAGGATTTGGAGGCGTTTGCCTTGCAGCAGACTGGCACTGTGCCAACCTGCTCACTGCCGGGTGACGAGGTACCAGACCCCACAATCAAGAACCTTGGCTCTACTAATGTACCCCTGGTGCAGTCCAGCTCCTCTGTCACAGGCCAGTCTGCCACAGACTTGCTAAACAACTTTACACAAGGTAAGCATGGACAAAACACTGGCAGAAAACAAAAAAGGGCCTTTCAATTTTATTACTTGTAAAACTATGTCAAACCTCACTGAGTGTACTATAGCCGTCAAAAATGTTGCATCCTGACTCCACTTTTCTCATCATATATCATCTCACTAAAAGTCAGTCATTACAGAAATGCTGGAAAGACACGAATTCTGGACTGAGAAACATTTACTGATGTTGTTGGGAAATACTTAGAAAAGTCTCTTCACTCCCCATAGACTTTGTACACAACTGCTGACCACCAATTCCCCCCCCCTAAAAAAAGATGAGGTGCCAAAAAAGACCAAAAGATTAGTCTGACTTGCCAGAATCCTCTGATTAACATGGCTTATACAAACTATGTCTGCCAAGGTTGGTTGTATCATCCATACACAACTTTCCTCCTGGTCCCGTTAATTTGTTTTCAGTGTTAATGGTTTACATTTCAAGACTGAGCATAGTTGAGTCGATGCTGCTTCATTTATTAAATTCGAAAAAAGTTCATGAATATTAGTTTGTGGACAAATGAATTAGTTTATATGTAAGGAGTGAATACAAAAGATGTACTACTTTTCAAAGCCTTTACAGTGGCAATTTTAGGACATAAATGTGTTGGTTTCACTCCAAATGCTCTGGTCTTAGATAATTGTGCCTACATGCGCACTTTGATTCAGATGTGCCCCGTCAATTAATATGTTAAGTACACACTGATGATGTACAGGCTTGAAATTGTAAAGAAGCAGTATTTTGTTTCAGTGCAGACACTAACGAAGCCGATGAAATTTGTGCAGGTAATCTCCCGTCTGACAGTGTTCAGGCGAGCCCCCACTCCAACATCCAGTGCCAATGGAACAGCAACAACAGCATGGTCCGTTCACCCGCAGATGCCAGCAATGAGATTCAGATCCAACTGCCTTCCAGCAACGAGCTGGACATCCCTTCACCCTTATTCGGTGCCGGGCTCGCGTCCCATGGAGGATCTGGCCGCGGGGGCAGCCTGGGGCCCTTGATGGCTTTTGCGCCCTGTAGCAGCAGTTACAGCCACCAGCAGCTGTCGTTTCCCTTTGGGCTGCTGACCAATCCCAAGCCCTCCACCCCGACCAGCCAGATCTACTCGCCGAATTTCCTGGTCTATCACCACCAGCAGCAACAGGAACAGCAGCAGGTCCCAATGCAGCAGCCCTACTACTTCCAGGGCAACCGCGGTGGGGAGACGCAGAGTGCCTTTATGCCCATCGGGCAGCAGAATCCCCCAGGCCATCACTCGGGCTTCGGGCATGAAGACAGCCCTTCACCATCGGGTGTAACGTCGCCAGAGCCTTTCAATGATATAGCTGTACTTGGGGTAGCCTCAGCTAGTGAGCCAAGTGGAATACAACCGGCTGGCAGAGCCCCAGCAAGCCACACTCTACGCATCCCTCTTGTCTCCCGGTATGTGCTGCGAAATCAATGGCAAAGAATACATTCAAGGGGAGGAAGGATATGGCTATCATTTATACAATTTAATTTTTGTTGATTTATGCTTAGCTGGCATTCAAATGAGCACTAGATGTTCCAGTGGACTAATCTAAGGAGGTTCCGGTACCATGATGTCACCAGACTTAAGCGTACTTTCTTTAACTTCAGGTGTGCATGTATTTAGTAAGTTGCAGCGCACTACGAAAAAGTAATTGCAGAAGAGGTGTTTAATACAAGTCTACCACCTGTTCTTGTTTTTGAGCAGGGTGCCACCACAGTAATGACTTCAAATTCTGGTGGTCAGGTTAGTCAGGACTGCCTGGAACATTCAAGTTTTAATGAACAAGCTCACAATCTGGCAAACAAAGCTGATCTGTGTCTGAATCACTGCCTCTGGCTGAAAGTAACATGCGTGTTTATATATAGCAAGTAGCTACAGTCACTAGCCAGAAGCGTTTACAAGTGCACGTGACATATCAAGCCCTAACCACAACTTTTGGACACAGCCTAAAGGCCCAAACCAACTTAGCCTCTGGCCACATACATCCCCTGTAGGTCCGAAAAACTTCCTGTCACTGATCGCTGCCTGTCTCTGTTTGCCCTTCAGGACAGTCCAGCCACCTTACCCGCCACCCTCCAACGCTGCTGCCACCACCACCATGTCCAACTTCCACTGCCTGCCGTCAGCCGCCTCCTCAGCTACACAGGCCAGGGCCTTCATTCCCCTACAGCATGCCCTGTTCCCTCAAAAGCACACCCAAGACAGCAACAAGAACTGACGTGGATGCTTAGAAGCCTCAGGACAACAAGTGAGGTCCTCGGTTTTAGTACAAAGGGATGGACCCCCTTGTGGGGATGGTCTTGGGAGCATAGTGATGCAACGATTGGGATGGATAATTTCCGAATAAATCCCACCAAATAGAGACCCATAAGCCAATTATAATGTTCAGTTAGCATAAGTTTAATAGTAAGATACCAGAAAGAGGTGCCAAAACAATATGTAACTGCAAACGTGCAATTTAGCACATTGTATTGTGAACAGTGCTCTCTAATTTAAATGATGGCTATCCCCACATTCTAATCTTTGCTGCTGGTGATTTTCATGACATTCCCCCCAGAAACTTTCCCTCGTGAAAAAATTTTCCTCTCTGTGCTCTCGTACGAGCAGCCCCTCAAAGGCAGACAATAATAAAAGTGCTACTGAATCGATTGTTGCCCTTAACTCAATATCCTCAGTGAATCTTATTGCATTAATTATTACATTAATAACAGAAAAAATTGTTTGTGGTCTTTTAAAAGATGATGGGAAAGATAAACAGTATTGATGTCTGGATCATTGAGCATTATGTGACCATCTCGAGGGAATAAAATGCTCCTCATTCATTAGTGCTTTTGACTGAAAGTATTTTTGGAGACGCACGATGTTCAACCACTGTTGGTGTTTTCAAGTTCATATTGTTCTTCTAATAAAGTGTTTGTTTTGGGTTGGTTAATGCAAGAAACTTTGTTGAGTTGGTAAATCAGTGTGTATAATGGCAAGACATTTAGGTGTGCCAAATTTCTGTCTTGTCAAACCAAGCACGATTTGTAAAAAAAAAACAAGTATCATGAATTTTTGTTTCTTTTTTATTGTGAGTTTGCACTGCTTGTTGGTTGCACTGTTTTGCTGCCTTTGAGAAACATGCCTTTCTGATTTTCCCACAGTTTTGTATATTGAAGAGAAATATCTGATTAATTACACCTGTCTGATTATATAAATCTTGCATTTGTTATGATTGTGATCTTGGAACAAAACACTGAGACAACTTGTTTTAGCAGTGTTGTCCGCCTTTAAAATTTGTAAATTGTTGTATAAATTGAAAATGGTGCAAATGAAAATGACAAACTTAAATGATGAAATGATAACTTTTTAACGTGGTAATTAATTACTGTTATAAAATGAGACATTTATGTCTCATATAAATGCTGTCAGTCTTTTAACCATTAAGCAAAGAGATAAGTTGGATCCTTGGCCGGATCCAAAGAAGGCCCTGCCCATACCCTTTTCCCGTTTGTTTTTAAAATACGATAAGACGAAAACGGGGCTTCTTCCCAGCAGGTGTAAAAAGCTCGACATTTAATAGTTTCACCCCTCGGAAAGGCCTGAAATGTTTACATAAAGAAATTCCCAAATTATTTGCCCTCCCCCCATTTATGACATTGGATAGAGTAATTTAGAAGGACACTGCGTCAGGGTGGGTGGAGATAACATTTGACGTGGGGGAGTTTCCCGTCGACCTCACACTCACAGGGTCAGCTGTACATTAATCAACAATGATTGATGACATTCATTCTTGGTGTTAATACGTTCCTTCAAATTCTCAGGAGTCCCGTCATTCTGGAAGAATTACGTTCAATGAAAAATTCATTTGCTGATAGAGAAACATCGATGGTAATTCACAGGGAGCATGCCCGCCACTATCAATTCTGAAGTTCAAAGTGTTAGACACGCATGCATTTGGTAGGATGGACCCTCAATTTCTAATTTATGTAAAAAGGAGAGATAGAAAAGCACTGACTCTCTACAAATGCCTAGGCCTTCTGGACACTGGTAGCGCTGACGAGGACCCCGTTTCAGAGCTGAAAGCGAGAGTTACGAGATGAGTGGTTCAACTGTTGGAACCAAAATGGTGGATTATGCATCAGTGCATACGGACAACTAGCACACAATAGCTGCATGGTTTAGTGCACACCCAATCAGCAGCAATTTTGGTTCCGAAATCTGAAGTTGGCGCTACTCTTTCTATAAACAGCTTTGCTCCGTTTACACCAAAGGTCGTATAGCTCCGCTTTACGTTGTGCTATGCGATCTTCGGTTTATTTACACCACCCTCCCCATGGCGACCACGTGCCCCCCCCAGCAGAGGTGTGTTGCTCCCACGTGTGCGTACCCCCATAGTCCCCATCCTTAAAGTTCCACCCTAGTTGCGTTGTTGCTTGGTTACGCATTTGTTTACATAGATATTATTTCTTACCCCTTGGACGTTCAAAAGAAGTGTGCAATTTTGTCATGTGAAAAACCTAACCTTTCGCAGGTCACCCACTGTTGTCCATAATAATTATGCACCCACTGCGCCATGCTTGTCCTCGGTTATTCTAAATCAGATATTTGACCTCCCCGATCCCTCCACCCCATTTTAGAACATCGGACTTTGTCATGTTCACAAAATAATGTTATAAGGCCGAGCTGACAGCCGTACGAGGGCGCACTAGTGTCAGGTCGGCATCAGTGTTGAGTCTCCGCCCACGGAACTTTCGCTTGTCCTTTCTCCAGACTGCAGTTTCTGGCTTTCGGAGCATCGAAGTACGTGTACCATGCTGTCCACCCGAAGATGGAAATGCTTTCGGTTCGACCCAACAGCGGGTCACCCTCGAGGCCTGAGTGCCCCGTGGTGCCCCACCGCTCAGAAATTAGAGAGTAAAATGTAGCGATAGTCCGCCTTGGTCAGTGTTTTTACCGTGGCTGAAGGACCCATCGAATGGCCTCCTTCTGTTGGTTCGATGTCAGAAACGACACTGACAGGTGACACGGAGACGAAGCCGAGATGTGGAAAATCTCCCCTGATCTACCAGACCGTAAACTGGATCTCTGCCCAACGAGGATTACCATCGTTTTTTGGGGGGGGGGTAAAACCGCTCAAGATGGATAAAGATAGCGAGTGCATGATGTTTGTCTATTTCAGGTGCATGGGTGCAGGAAAAAAATGTTTCGTGTCGACAGTAGAGTTGATGAAAATGGGCGGGGATGTCTTTTTGTGCTCTGGTCAGACATTGTTACAGGCCTGTGGTAACTCTCAATTATAATAATAGCAGGTGGACACGGGAAAAAAATCCAAGCTCTTTCACAAGAGATTTTAACAACCTCACAAAATTTACATAAATAATTTATTCAATTCTTGTTCATATAACAGAACACAAACGGGCATATTTTATACAGTAAATTTCTTGAAATATACATTCAAAATTATAATTGGTTCTGAAGCGACGTAAGTGGGCAAGCTGAATAAATAGTGAAAAACTTAACTGACCAGGAGTGAGTATTGAGAATTACCAATTTGCATAGTATTTTGTTTTGAAGGGATAGGGGAGAGCTAGCCATAGATTTTTTTCATGAGTCTAGGGCCTATATACAAAATGGTGATTGAACATGTTGCGACCACAATGATTTGGGGAGTGAAAATATGAACTTTCCTTGTATTCATCTATCAGTCAGCAGAGACCTAGCCTGTTCGGCTGTGTGAAGTTTAATGTAGTCAGTCTCTGCATTGGTCTTTGAAGTGTTAGAGGGATGCATGGACAATGTTGGACCAAGTTTGAAGTTGACTGCATGATGATTCAATTTGGGTCACCATGTACCTTAATAACAAATGTGTAACATGAAGTGAATTACTACGCCAATAAAGTCAACAATAGGTCACAGGTGGGGCCACACTGTTGAGACTCGAATCGTAAACGAAGCCAGGATATGCTGGAACTAGAAACAACTTAACGAAAAACAAAGTCACTGTGAGCAAACAAACGATAAACCAAACAAAAGGTGGAACAGTAATATTTGATGTCTGTGCAGGTCACGGAAAAGGAAATATTCTGACTGTCATAAAGAACTTGAGGAAAATGGCAAGTCCAACTATTAAGCGATTAACGACCCAGCACATACCGTCATTCGCCAGTCAATGCAACTGCTTGCTGGGCGGAATTTGATCTTGTTGGCCTGTCGCCATGGAATGTTTACGATTATCGTCACTAATCGTCGTGATCAGCACTCGTGGTCTGTCATTTCGTGGCTTCGCTTTTTCTCGTCCTCCAGTAAGGTCTCCAGCGACGACAGCTGGTGACTGCCCCTGCGGCGCGTGTTCGGTGATCTCCGGAGGGCACCGAGACTAGCCGAGTGCTCCCGCGGGGACATGGTCGGGGTGTCACGGAGGGGTGAAGACAGGATGTCGCTGGTGGAGCGGGATGAGGGCGGTTCAGTGAACTGAAGGCTAGTCGGCCTGGTTCGATGCGCTCTGCCGTTTTCTGATGGTGTTGACAATCAAAACACAAAATCAAACTTAAATCTCGGTAATTAATTTACCTTGAGCTTACAGAGAATAAAACAGTCATATTCCTAAAATGCTAACAAACCACTAAAAAAAACAGTCCTGCACGAATTCCGAATCATACAATGAGATTTGTAGGAAATGAAGTCTTGTTTGATGAAGTATGCCGAGGAAAATAGGTCGAGTTCGGGCGGCTTGTTCCTGTATATTCACGAACAGCTCGATTTGTTGTTCGTGGGTCGGCCGCTCGAACGCCGGGAACAAACAACCGGTTATCGCCGGTTATCGACAAGCAACATGCAACATGGCGGCGTCCATGTGGGCTACGTTGTTCGAGAGATAATGTTTGGATGGGCTGAGTTCTTTTCTATATAAACAGGAACATTCATTTCTGTGTTACGGAAAAGTACTAATGTTAATTTTGCAAAATTTTCCATTGTCTATGGCTTTGGAAGCCATCTCTTTGCTTTTTGTAGCTGTTCAAAAATCAAAATCTCACGAGTTTTTCCCGTGTGTTCCTGTAAAACCCTGACGAGGAGGTGGTGTGCGATCCTGTTACGAGAACAGAGTTCTTGAGTCGTGTTCCCGCCGTTCGAGCGCAAGAACAAGAAACCCGTGTCAAGAACTGGCCGCCCGAACTCGACCTAAGAGTTGTTCAAACTTGCCCTGTCTCCTTCGCATGGAGTCGTGGACCATGGGCTGCTGTATTTTGGCGGCCACTACGGGTTCATCTCCTCCCAGGTACAGGCCTTTCGTTCCTAGGTAGGGGCAGACCACCTTCGCAACCAAGGATTCAATATGGAGGTGTTCCTCCGACGGGTAGCCGCTCTCGCGCACGCTCTGTAGGTGCAGCAGCATCTGGACTATCTCGTTGGGAACCGCCGCTCGATCGGCCGAGAGGGCGTCTGTGTTGTAGAGGATACCGTATATTACCACATGTTCATGGAATAAACTCGAACAGCTTCTACGCTGGTTTCCAATCGACGGGCGGTGATGCTGATCCTAGAAAGTTGGATGCATGCCTTGGTCAAGTACATGTACATCGTACATAGTTAGGAAGTCTGTATTAGATGCTTGGAGGTCGTGGGAAGGAGTTCTCCATGCACTTGAGAAGTGTTTCGTAAAATGCGTACAACTAATTGCGTTTTTCGTCGTTCAAAACAACTGCGTGTATATTAGTACAAACTTAACTCTGCAAGAGCTGGGTTATTTTTGTCCATCTCACAGCTGGGGGCGGATTCCACCCCCTAAGAACTCAGCTGGCCTTTATCCGATTTATCTTAAAATTTAGTATGCATGTAAAGATACTCCTTATCAGTACAAATGTGATATTTCAACTCAATCTGTCATATTGCGATTCTCTTTTTCCCGGGATGACATCACAGTTTTGCTCATACGGAAATATTCATTAGCCAACAAATCAAAAAGACATCAAACTACCATTATTTAAAAGTAGTGGAAAAATGGAAAATGAGATTAACTGAGATGTAAAGGTGCATTGTGTAGGTCTGTAAAAATGCATTGTGGCCATCCTCTAAGGCAACTTGAAGACCATACACGTGTCAGCCGGCAGTGCGCACAGAGGACGGCACTGGATAGTATACATTTTGGCTGATCTGTTTTGGAAACTGGGCGCTCTACGAGAACGGTATTATCGATTTTCACAAAAATGGTGTCAAACTGATGGCAAAGAGTTACCGAAAAAATCCTCAGGACTCAGCTCCAGAAAAAAATTACTGCGATAAAATCGGAAATGTCAGGGGGCAGATTCCACCCAAGCACTTTTAGGGTTAAGGTTAAACGCTCTCGAAAAAAAAGTACATTTATTTTATGGCACGAGCGATAGGTTCGTTTAATTATTCCACGCAGTAATGTGAACATTTCTTTCCTTATTAAAATTCCTTGTGGTAAGTTTTTAATATGGTATAAATGTAGAATAATGTTTTATTCCGCCGTTTCTGAAATAAGTTATAACTAAAAATTATGCACAACAGACAACCTTGTGCAAAATTTGTAAAACGTAGTTCCACAGGCATCATAGAATGATTCATTGTTGTCAAAGCCATTAATGAAACTCACCCTTGAGTGTATGCAGCTTTAAGACAATGTGGTCCCGAAACCCCAAAAGGCTCAACTGTAAAATCGTCAGTCCTTTTGTCTGTGGGGGATTTTGGTGAGAGAAATGACAATATTATACACTTATTAGCAACAGTAAACCTGATTTTTAAAAAAAACGGTTTCACGCCTTAATTTGTTTACCCAGACTGACTGACTGAACAGTAAATGACGCCGGCACTTTGATAATTATCAAGTGCAGTTAATTCCAAATTCAGACTGTATTGGATTGAGCAAAGTTTAGAATAAACCTTAAAATTGATAATCGTACAGAACTCTCTTTATTTAATGTCAACTACATTCAATGATCAGTCTATCCACTGCCTTGGCTCAGTTTTATCATATGTACTACAGTAAATTTTGATTGTCACCAACAAGGACTACCTCGACAAAGATCAGTCATGATGGCAAAATAGTATGGCGTATATCCCACATCCAGGACACGTTGCTATTTTTTTTCCATTGAAAGCGCCAAAATTTAAGAAAGGGTACTAGCAACTTTCGTAGGGTTAGGATTCCTTTGGGATGAAGAGAGCTGTTTTCGGGGGAAAAAATCATTCCCCCCGCACTCAAAACCTGTGGATACGCCAGAGATAACTGTACCGGAGAAGAGAAAAACCTGGTCAGAGCACCTGCTGCTGTACTTACCTGAACAGGACAGAATATTGCTCGCAAGGTGGGAAGGACCTCACAGAAGAATTTATTCCATTGTTTGGCCAAACTGGCTAAAAGTTGGGGACCTGTATGGGGGTTTAATTGGAAACAAACAATCAACGAACACCTGCTAAATACATCGAATCGAGATTATAACCAGTGTGGCACTTAACTTATATACCCCAATACTGTCAACACTTAGACAATCCCTCCCCCCCAAAAAAGGGAAAAGAAAGAAAATAAAAAAGGGGTACTAAATTATATTCATTTTGTCCTCGGTCGACTTCGCCAGACACGTGTAGACTTCTAAACAAGACCATTTAGCGGGTGTGAAAACGAGGTTGGAAAACGTAAACAATCTCCTCTAGGTTTCTCCAATAATTTCTTTATTGTGATTTAATCTTTTCTGAAATGAATAACCCTGCATAAGTATACTTTTCTTCCATGGTCTATACATGACTTGTATTATCGTTATATACCATTGATTATTCTGGACTGAGTCTTATACAGATCCTTAATCGCCCGCTTCCCATACCGCAAACAGCCGTCTGTAAACTTGATTATCATCATGCATGGCACTTGCAATCTCCTGTCAGCAGCACGAATCCAGTTGGATAAAATAATTTCCTTCCACACGATTTGCCGCGCCGGCAGGTAATTTTTTTCCCACAGGAGCGAAAGGCTCATCTTTTCAACGGCAAATTATATATGCGGCATGGGAAAATCCCCAGCGAAGGCATCCTGCATGCATGTATGTAAGAAGCGCCGTAGTTACGCGATACCAAATTCGGACGTGATCTGCAAGTATAGGCCTGCATGTACACTGTGCATTGTGTATGCGTAATATCGTATTTCTCGTCAGCGAAAACCCATTTAGAAACATCTTCATCTAGCGCTCGGCGCGGCAAGTCAATGCTCGATGGCAAGTGATTTTATGACACGCTAATGGCACATTTCTTGAGCGTAATAGCAGTAAGATCATTCCCAGCGGCATTTTTTGTCAATCACTGCATGAAGATGTGGTGATAAGTCTGCCTCTTGGCTGTGAAAAGAAACGTCTTCTACCGCACTTTTTTTTATTCCAGTAATGCTTTTTCTAAATTATAATAACAGCACATATTTGACGGTACCATTAAGCAAGAGCTCCTTTAAATCTAAATGGACCAGAAGAGACCCAAACAGAAGCGGTTGAGCGAAGGTAGATATCTCCGACAATTTATTCAATGAAATGGATAATGACATTGTCGACAATTTTGGGGAATATCAAGCTAGAAAGATGTCACGTGTATGTCATTTAGACAACGACTGAGCACTGTAGCCTCTTCACGATTTCTGCAGTCACAGCTCGGGCTATGGGCCCAATGTGTAAACATGAGAAGGCGCCTAGTTGCCAGCAACGAATTTCTTTTGGCAACTGGGCCGAAACCATCTACATCTGCACATCGCTCTGTGAGGCGTGTCCTTCATTGCTCGCTTATTATTACAGACGAATCCCGTGACCATGGTAACACAGTCAATAGTCATTATTTGCCTTGTCTCCACCAATGGTGATAACTACAGAGCCACTGTTCAGTGACAGTCAGCCCATCCATACAAAACCCCAATATCTTCGCCATTAGAGAGGGCCGCCGGGAAGTACCAATGAAACATCACCGGATCCGTGAACACCCGGCACGAAGAGTAGACTGTTCTCAGTCCTCCATAATCATGGCTAGGCCGGAACCAGGCGGTTGGGTCGACCCAGCATTTGGTTGCATACAAGTGCACGTGACTAACTTGTTGGTCGGACCATTAGACAAGACTATAATGCGTGGTTTTTTTAAAGGTTTTGTAAGCCTTTGACAACATGCTTACCGTCTTCAGTAATTATGGAGCTGTACATTAGATCCATTCCTCGGCGAAGGAGGTTTTTCTGCAGGTAGAATTGGGAAAGAAAAGGTTCAAAGTGGGCGAATCAAGGGTTATTCAGGGGTGGGAACCCGCCTCGTCCAGAAAATGATAAATTTTTCAAAACAACTACCGGTACATTAAGAATATCCGGCTTGAGCAAAGGTACCACCTCATCCATACTGGTCGGGAATGTTCATTTTGCTGGTAGCGACGCGCCCGTGAAGCGTGCATTTCATAGTCGTTTGTAAACCAGCGAAGTGCAGTTCCGACCAAAGGAGCCGTTGCTAGAAAAACTGAGCCCTCTCTTAGTCCACGGACCAAGCTGCAGCTCAGGCCTCATAGGCTGCCTCTGTTTACTCTGTTTGATCTGTCCTTGGCCCTAAAAGGAAATACTCTGAGCACAGGCAAATAGCCTGTATATTTTTGGTCAGCAACGCGCTAGATATTCGGAGGGGCGATTTAATCGAGGTCTATCTCAGATCGCATAGATTATCCTGAACTGTTCTTAAACTTTTGTTAGATTTCCACTCAACTGACTTTTTTTTATTCCATGAAACAGAGCTGTCGAATTTGACTTTGTGTATAGAACTGCCGCATTTAAACTTTGCATTTGCTCACTCCCACAACAAAATTGAGCACGCCATGCACCCCAACAACGGGCAAAAGGTCAAGTGCAGAAAACCATTCAGTATTGTAAACTAATGGGCGACGACTGACGGGAAATAAATGGCTATAAAATGTCTGGGAAAGGGAGTACATGAAGAATTGGTGACGACCATTCTCGTCCCACTATTGGACTTGACTGATTGATATGGAAGACAAAAACTAACTGAAATGGGTAAAACGATTGCAAATTGTATCTTTTAGTCTGATTAAAAAAACAGTGGGTGCGCTTGGTGCACAATTTAGCCTATAGAGAGAACGTGGACACTGTCTCAACATCAGGCTTCAAAGTGCAGCTTCGTAAATAGATCACTCTCATTTTGCCTACGACTTGCATGGGCGGCCAAGGTTTACAGAAATATCACCATTGGTTGGTTTTTCGATTTTACCTCAAATTCGTTCAAAATGGACATTTTGTCTCTTTGATTTGAAATACTACAAATAGGGTTGTATTTTCATTTAGTATTTAGTAGTAATTAATTTTTGGTGTTCTGACAGCTGCGTGGGATTTTGTGAATGGTTTTACTTTGTACACCGACGGCCAGTCATATTTTAGCAGCTACTTGCAGGAAAAGCACGACTGTGACGTCAAAAGAACAGACTCATTATACTTGGACTCGGAGGCTCCTGAAAGGATAGCTCCAAACTGACGGCCCATTTTCTGCTGCATAGACTTGGAGGACTGGGGCAGCATTCTAAATGTGTTCGATGTGACAATGTCCTCATTAATTTGGAGCCGAAGCAGTGGCGTTGCTGGGGAGTCTTCCCCATGGGACTCCCCCCCCTGCCTTTGCTCCCCGTGGGAAGAGCATGGCTTTTCCACTAAGCCGAGGAGGACGAACAACTGTAAACCAAACCATAAGGCCTCCACCATTCAATGCAGACATTTAATTATTGACGTCCATGGCAGTAGTCCCGTGTAATCTCTGCATCTGTCTCCGGGTCACGTTGTTGGAACGCATAGTGCTCACCAACTACGCTGCATGCTTTTCTCAACACACTATTAAACCAAACCTTGAGAATGAAGGTGACACTTCAGTACTTCTGCTTGATTAACTGCAGGAGTTCCCATGTGTCAACAATATCAGTAGGGATGGTATAGACTTTGGCTCAACAGCTTTCAGAAAAAATCCTACCCCCGCCTTCTAGAAAATTAATTACATGAATTTGACTCCCACTGAACAGGCGAAGATGCGGATTTTGCGTAGAAACTGAGAGGGCTACAGACGGGAGCTGGCAAGACACGTTTCGTTAACCTTGGGAGACGAAAATATAGCAAATCACCCATGCATCGCCTGGTTTGAGCCATGGAGTGAAGCATAAATAGATTACGATGTAGATACGACACAGTATGGTTCCCAGACTGGTAATTACTTAGAAAATGATACATTACAAGAAAAGGAAAGAAATGACAACCCACTGTATATTTGGTTCTATCCGACATGCAATTAATATTTTCCGTTAAATGGTCACCCGTTGATGAGCCCGTTTGATAGAACTCGTTGTAATAGAATCATAACACATAATTCAATAATAATTCGATTATTATAATTCGATAATAATTATAATAATTCGATAGAAAGGTTTCCTCTTTTTAATGGCTAAAGGCCGGATTTCATGGCTGAAGCAATGGTTTTTAAGACGGATTGATGATGAGAAAAGAAAAATAATGTACTGGCGCTGTGTGGCTTCAGGCTTTTACCAAGGTGACTATATCATTACTCAGCATCATCAGGGAATTAGCGTATATTCCTGTTATGACAGGAACCATGCTGACGGAGATTGTGCTTATTCATATCATCAACCTGTGATATTTCTATGTGTCTCGCCATGGTCACTGCAGTTTTTAACATTTAGAAAAAGAAGTGATAAGATGTTACACACACACAAAATTATTGAAAGCAACATGCTGAATGCACGAGCACACCGCGATCTATTTTCATCAAGGAACAATGTTGTTGGCCGGATCCTTTCACACACAATGGCCACTCCCACCCACGCCTTGCGTCGTCTACAGCCGTCTATTTTACACAGGTGTGTATATATTCACTGCTGAGCTTTGGCTGCTGCATTTTCACAGTGCATTTGTCGTTCGGCATCAGCTTCATTGCCCGTCGTCCCCCCCCTCCGCGACATGACGCTATGCAGTCACGTAAGCGGCTCAAGCCGAGCATGCCGACAACAGATCGAACAGGAATGAAACAGTGCATCGCTGGAGGTCTCGTCTGAAATCGAAAACGCGACCGATCTCCGCAAACCTTACCGGCGTCGTTTCAAGAATGCGTACCAATTCAACGCGATAGTGTGTTGACAACCAACAGACACACTATTACACAATATACCTAGCGCCTGCATTTGCCGAAATTCGCTTGGGGCATAATCAAGCGAACGTTGCTGAATTTTGAATGAGCGGGGGCATTTCATCAGACATACAAAACACAATATAAATGCGGAAGCAATATTACGCCATGCAGGCGCTCATCATCATTTTGTCATTGGCGAAATAATCTTTCATACATATGAAATATTTAATTGTTTCCAAACAAGAACAGATGTGATTAGTTTCGTTATCGCGCTGACCATGGAGGAATATTGTTTTTATTTAGCAATACGATGATATGAATAATAATAATTCTCATTTATAAAAGCAGAATATCACTCAATTGTTTCCCAAGACTTTCTCATAAAATGTATAAGACTCAGCGTCGTTGAACTAAATTGAACTTAGCATCAGTACTGTTAGCGATTTGAAGAAAGAGTTTTAATTCATGGTTATCAATATACCTGATAACTTATTTATCAATGTAATGTAAAGAGACTCAAAGACTCCCCAAACGAGGATAACTGAGGAATTAACTGTCTGATTCCCAAAATAAAGTTAAAAATGTTTATACTTCAAAATACAAATTAAGATTGCCCAGTTATTAACTGTCAATGAATAATACAAAGAAGAATGTGAGCCACTGGATTAATATATATAAGCATCTGTATCCTTGATAGGTATTTTATCAAATTTCCCGATGGTAAACATGATTTTAAAAAACTGTTACAAACTTTCTGTATTTTCAAAGTTTGAACAATTAAAACTATTCGTTTGATACGTCTGCCATTAAATACCATTTTAACAGATGTACTTATCTATCGCATCTCTCTGTCATGTAAATTAATTTTGGATTTTTGCCCTGCCCGACGTGTCACGTAGTCGAAAATAACGAGTTTCTTACCTTGTAGTAATCTGTTATAAATTCACCAATTTCTGACTTCAACGCGGCCCTGCAAATACAAACAATCAACAGTTGGACATAAAAGACACACGAACAGCTGTATACCTAACATTGACCAATGAGAATAGCGTCTCACACAAAAGAGGTTACTGCGCAACTTACATCCAATCACGAGCGTGAGTATTTAGGCAATTTGCATAGCCGAATCAATGGCATAGTACAGAGACCCCTTGCAATTGGTACTCGGTAGTAGTTCCTTTAACGTCGCATGGAACCATGCACTGAAAAATAAATTCCCTCTATTCCTCAATGAGCAATAGTCTGCAGCCTTGAATCTCTAATACCGGTAGTTGTGCTGCGATTGAATACCTAGCAATATCAATATTTAAACAACTGTTGTCCAACAGATATGAAAATACAAAGCAACAACTACAAGGCAAAGCTCAGAAAGAAGATGGCGACATGGCACGGTGTTTTTTCGACATAAATCCTCAAATTAGCGCTTAACTTCGATGTGGAACACAAACTTCATGGGAGTTTCTGACGGTGATGGGAATAAACGGTGAGCTCTTGGTAGATAACATCTTTTTTGAAACCGAAATCACGATACAAACAGGCCTCCACTCAGTCGAGTCTTGACAATTCGTCAAATGTAAATACCCTATGGTATCCTGATGTATATGTACTATACTCTCTTTACCTACCTGACCTGCTCGTTGAGATCGTCTAGTTCACCTGGAGCCAGTTTCCCGCCTCTGAAAATGGAGAGCACCTTCTTCTGCACACTATAACGAGGAAGATGATAATAGCACAGTACCGTTAATTAGGCAACCATAGATTCGACTCTCTCCGTGAAAGTAGTCTGTTCTACTTATTTGGGCCATAACCCAGGATTACAAATATCGCTGGCAAAACATTTTCCGGTATGCCAACCCCCTCAACAATAAAGTGATAAACACGAGATTGAATTTCGAGGAAAAAAAAACACGTACCCACGCTCTTCGTACTCTACAAATATTGATAACATGCTGAGCAAAAGGTTTCTGACATGGGCCCACCTTAAACTTGCACAGAGATCATTACACTTTGCCAATAGAAATTAGTTGAGAGGGTTGATTTAGTCTGTACATGTACATGTCCTACCATGTGGAAGACTACATAAATCATGCATGGCGTATGTGAGATGAAAAGTAACAACTTTACGGTGAGGAAAACTTGATGGATAAATTTCGAGCAATACTTTATTCCGAGCGACATTTGGTATCAAATACAATGTACTAGGCCTATATACATGCGTGGTTGGTTAATTTGGGTTACACTTTGACCAACCTTTAAGAAGAATTCCCCCTCCCCCGCCGAAAAAAAGTGACAGGCAAAAATCTCAAAGTTACCTCACAGAAAGTTACCAAATACTGGAACAATTTCAGGGAATTAAATTTTTTTACTTTGTTTTTCATTGTTGAGCAAGGCAATAAGAAGTTAACCTTTCCGCTAAATGTTTTCAGAAAATTCCTAAATTTGACAGCGTTTTCCCAGAACGACATCCCGACAACAACGCCATCAGTCACCCGAAAGAGCATGAGATCTATACAATTAACAAGAAAAGTATTTCAAATGGTTTTAAGTTCCCTTGACCTCGATCAGCTCATTAATGCTGTTTTTGTTTCGCAAATGTATCGCTAGAAGTGTCCACCAATGTGGTAGCACATACAGTTAATTTTAAAAACGTTGTAAGTGATAATTTTAAGGTTGCACGGTTCGACTCGCTGGCTATGGTTATGAAAAATAATCAATCTGAGTTGGTCTGAGCACAAACCATCACACCAGCAACACAAACAGCGACGTGGAGAATTAAAATTACAGACCACGTGGTGGCCCAGACGGTCAAGAGAGTAACAAGATCACATGAATATACGGACAGTTAATTTACTTTTTCCAACCGTCTTGCCATGGACAATGTTTCCGAAATGTGGCCACACTGTGGGGGGAATTCGTGAAGCAATCCAGTTTTGCCGTGTCGGTATGATGTGCACGTGCACGCTTAGGCCAAATCAGCCAATACATTAACCCGGATATGTCAGCTTATTTGACGATATCTGCGTATCGCGCAGAAAGAGAGTTCATTAATTGTTCCCTTTTGACGACGAAGACTAATTTTTGGGTCTCTCTATCTCCGGGAATGAAAACAAAAAAACAACTGTTATAGTGCAGCACTTTGACAAATGTTTAATTTAGGAATGAGAGGCAAGAGTTGAACCATCTATTTCCATACACCACAGGGGTGCAATATGCAATTGAAGGGTACGGTACATATAGCCTACGGTATCACAGTAACATCAGAAAGGTATTACTCTGCGCTGAGCGAGCTCGTCACATCCTTCGACTGTTGCATGTCGCATGTTAGCTTAAAGAGCTGTTTTCAGTCCTACATTGACAGCATTTCCTTCAACAACACCGTCATGGATATTTGTTATCAAATAAAAAGAAAGCTCAGACTCAACAATGAATGCTGATTTTGAACAGATAACGACACAAGCCTTTTCTCATTGTTCTAAACAACTTAATCTTAAAATTCAGATTGATTTCTTCTGTTGGAAAACACTAACATGGGCATAGGGCATTTATAAATGAAATTTTACAACATTAACATGAACTTCATTAAACAGATTTTGGCGAGTAGGTTGATCAGGAAACGACTGGACAGCTTAAAAATTTACAAGCAAGCATTATTTTAGCCTTGTGATGACAATTACAGGTAAAAACGCAATGACAAATCGACAAAGATGCAAAATATTCACAGAGCATCCCTCCAGCTAGAAAAGGGTCAAGTTGTGTAGGACGCTGATAACAAAATTAAAACCGAAACTGTACATTTTAACAAACGAATGATGCAGCTATTCGCTATTGGCAGTGGCTTAGATCTGCGCCGGAAATGGGGGGAAGGGGGAGATGGGAACATCATGTGACTATATAAAGAGGTCAATGTTCATACTATTGATGTGCATCCGTAATTCTATTACATTCATGCAGAATGCTACATCAGAATGGCATATTTATGACGTTTTAAAATTTTTTCCCTTTTTTAGTGATATTGAACGTATTTCAGTCGTGGGGAAGTCGGCAATATTCTTCACAATCCACTTTAATATTTTGCTCACCCCAAAACGGTAGGGGGTGATTTAATAGCCCAGCCCCCACCTCTAAAAGGGGATATATACCCCCTGCGATTTACGCCCATGCTTATTAGCGTTGTATTCCGCATCAGTACCCGATTGCGTGACGGGGGGGGGCAGATTGGCAGATTGCAACAAGATGGAAATTTTAAAAGCGCATATCGTGACGCTGATAGGAGCCAAATCGGGGCAGCGAAAGTTGACCATATAAAATCAGAGTGATGAAAATATTCTGTGCTACCACAGTTTTCGTAATTAACACAAATTGGACGAAGCCTTTATGGTGCAACGGACATGCAGAACCACGTCTACCTGCCTTTCAAGACCGCTATAGCGTATATCGTGTACCACGTCAAGTAGGCCAAGATCATCAAGGGATTAGATCCCGATTTCTAATATTCGAGGCGAACGGTCAGACAGCCTGCATCTAAACTGCCTATGCATTAACCTTCAGCGACAGCAGCATAAACGCTCTCTGAAATACTCATTGCATACATAGTTCAATCACGGAAGGAGAGATTGCCATTTCCCACTTATTAAACCCTCTTCTCATTCATGACAATAATCCAAAGTTCCTGTGCTCGAGATATATTTCTTTCCCAAAGGCCAACCAACGCATCCTTTTTAAAGGGAAGGGGGTCGCACTTCATCAGTGTAACAGCACCTATTGTACGAGCGAAAATATTGCTTGATATTGTAGTGGTTGAAACCATTATATATTGTAATACATATCTGGATCAGTTCAAAAAGAGCTTAGCCATTTTTTGAAGTTCATTTCGAATTCAATTTGCTCTTAATTCTACAGGGCGAAGTCGAAGGTTCAAAGAACCCAGGTGGTTATGTGTGGGAGATATGTTTACTTTAACTGTGGATGTAAATATTAGGCGTGATAAAACATGCAGATGAACAGGTGTAATAAAACTTGCTGCAGGCCATAACTGAAGAAGATCAAACAAACAGATCGTTGAGTGACGGCAGGGAATTAAGTTGAACACGGTTTGCAAAACATGCACACGATGCCACCGTTTATCATATCTGATATGTGGATTTTTGTCCAGTCAGTGGTAAATCAGAAGTTGAACTCATTCTGTAGTAAGGTAACTTTCGACCCAGAACCCAAAACTGTAATATTTCATTTTTGTTTATCCTGACCCTATCGTCTTGGATGCTGCGACTGTTTGATGTACAGCTTATCATACGTTGCTGTAATTTTCCCTTTTTGATGCAATAATATCGAGATAATTTTTCATAACGACGGGTGTCGTATTATCATTGACATGACTATCAAGCATTAAGCTAAGGGTACTTTATAAATTTGAAGTGAAGATTATCACGTTTTAAAAATAACAACATAAAACAGTCGTTGGTAGAGACATTTTTTTTTCTTATCACGTCTCCTCCCACGCGCGTCGTAGACTCGCGTAAGTACTCGCTGCACGTCAGAGTAGACCTTAAACCCTGGCATTATGTTGTACATACAAACTAGCAACCGCTGATCGTAACGATCGCTCATGTTCATACCAAACTCGAACTCGTCCGCAGAAATATCCTAATTTCCTCGCACAGTAAGCCAAGATGGAACCTACCTGTTCCAGTCGTCGTTCCGTAATCCCAGCACCTGTTGGGACTTGATGGCGGTCTCGTCAGACCGCTGCATGACGGCCATGGCGGAGCCCCTCCGCGCGCTAGCGTTCACTCCCTTCACCTTGCCGAAGAGCGCCCGGCTGATGTCGCCCTGCGAACCCTGGCGATGACCCAGGCTGCTCATGAGTGCTGACGGTGGGGCGATGTTCGCCAGTGACTGCCGTGACCGGCTAATCATGCCGACTATTCAAGGTGCCTTATTTGAATAGGATGCGTCGTCGCGTTTAAAAATAGTACCACCCAGTCTATTCTTGGAGGGTTTTATTGTCTCCTGGTAACAATGGTGATTCTGAAGTACAGACCGTTGTCAGATAAAGTCACACTGGAAACCTTGTCAAAGAGAAAAAAAAAATCATAGAATAAAATCGTGTACGTGTACAAGTGCGCGACTGAGATGACTTCCTAATAATGAAATGGTAAAAGGGAAGAAAACATCTTTTAACCAATTATTAAAGTCCACCGTATATACGTCTTGATAGATTGAATAATGTTGTGAGTGTGGCCTGTATGACTGCTTGGCTCCGGATGACCAAGATTCCCGGACCAATATGCGCTGAATGACGCCGGCTGCAGGCGGTTATTGATGACATTAGTTTTTCAAGTCTCCAGACGGACGGGTGATCGCGAGGAAGGGCCTTCTCTGATGGTATAGGTGAACAGATCCGAGCGAGAGTCAAGTTTCTTATCAAAAGGCGATAAAATTGCCGGAGGAACGGATAACTTATGGAAATAGCACAAAATAGCATGAATAACTGAATAAACGATTTCGAGGTTGAAAGGTCTCGGTGGACTGGTCTTGGTGCACTGTTAAGTTGTTTACAAGTTCTCCAACGCAGAAACGGATCTTCGTCGGGTATTTTCAACGCCTGTGCATGGTTTGCGATGTGAGACTGAAATGATTCGAGAATCAGTCATTTAATCAACCATATAGGCCTAACAGCAATGATTAGAGAATCAATCAACTGACAAATAAATGTGCAGGTGATTCATTTACACCGTCTGCCTCAATAAAAGCATAGGCTGGCTATTAGCCCCACAAATAGGGCTGTAGTGGCTCTCTTTTACAATCTGTCTCTTATCTGTCGCTACGGAGACAGATTGTACAAAGAGAGCCACTACAGCCCTATTTGTGGGGCTTGCTGGCTATCAGCATGTGCCAGATGATTTACCTGTCGAAAACTTGACAAAAATTACGAACACGTACGACGACACGTTGTATTAAATCAGACTTGCAAATGCCGCACATTGTAATGTACAAACTACAGTAGGATTTATTCTGCAATGTTCACAACTCAACTGTCAACTGAATTCTATGAATGAGCCACTCTAGAATTTGAACCCGGAAAAAATCTAAGATACATCTATTAACAGACTGATAGCGAAGATAACTCGATTTGGGAAAAAACAAATAGAAAAATCCTTGGTTGCAGAATAGTGCAATATCCACATGATCAGTGAAGCAACATTTTGACCTACCTTGCACCACTAAACACCGCGATTTTTAGGCATGGGTCGAGTATAGGTCTCTAGACCAACTGTTCAAACCATGGTTGAATGCCGTTTAGCGACTGGTAGTCCTACATGTAAAATGCCAATCATTGTCCGAGAATCAGGAACCAGAAAGTAACCATTGTTGACGACTGAGCTATCGACTGCCATGTGTTACATTGTGCCTATATTGAAAGAGAATGACAGCGCATTGAAACACGCTTATGACATTCGCAATTAACACTGCATGGTGTCACAACTAACGTAAAGGCGCGACACCTTCATTAAAACTCCGAAGGGTTGAGAACCAGACGTCGATTATTGGCTGGGGAAACAGGTACCAAGATATAACCGCGCTTTGGGTGAAGCGGCCACAAAATCGTTAATATCGAAAAAGACGCCGTCGGGAAGAAATAAACCGACCAGTGTGGCTGACAAGCAGTGCCGTTGCTATTTCCTTCTGTGTAAGCCACAACCTTTCGGAAAACAGGAAATTGCAATTTACAGGGAACACAAACAATTTCAAATTAACACAGAACCACGTTCCGAACAGAGCCATACAAAATCTGGCGGTGTGTTGATAATTATAATCGACAGAGGGCGTACTTTCGGCGCGCTGCCCCGGCTTCCTCGGTTTCTTGAGCTTTATCTGCCGAAGAGACGGTTATGGCTAAACCGGCAGGCCCAATGGGAATATTTTTTTCAGAACAGGAATACACTTTTCTTAATTTTCTGACACTTAGGGCGAAAAAAAGCCTCACCACAAATCTTTTCCGTCGCCACAGTCGCCTCCATGTGTCCTTTGGGGAATGTGTTGTCCGAATGTATCCATTACAACTGTCCTTCCTCCATGTTCCAACCGACTAACATCACAAAATATACTCCCCCTTGGAGGCCTTAAACCGGATATACGTCTCAGTTCAAGGCATCATGCTCTACTCGCTGCATTTGCCTGTCTTGGAGAAATAAAGTACACTCTACTATTCCAACACAATTCCCACATGGACGTGCAGATGACGATCTTTATGCACTTCTTCATATAGGCCTACGTGCAACAGTACTCCACAAATCGACAAGACAAACGTACGAGACACATTGGGTTTTGTTTTTGTATCCGACGGGACATGTGGCTTTACAGATACAACAACTGTTTTCTGTTGCTTTTACTTGGAAAGGGAATCCCGACTATGATCCAGTCGGTTCCTTTGAGGTATGATTATCTTCAATGTTATACTGATGGAAAGTCTTAAAAGTCTAGAGTCCGGACAGAGGAAGAGGAAGATGTTTACCAGATTAGAGGAGGGAGTCGTTTTCCCCTGCTCCACCTAATTTTTGTCGAAACCTCTGGTTAGAATTTGTATCGACTTAATGTCCCGCGTTATAATTCCAAGTACTCGCATTCTGAGTCAATTTTCACGTTCGTACCACGTCCACACAATGTGCCCAATCTATCAACAAAAATTGTTTGCAGAGTTTTGACACTAAAATTCAAAAGATGGGGTATCCACACTTTATGATCATTTCTGACGGAATACGATGGGTCGCACTGCTCGGTGGGTTGCCTCGAGACTGCAACGTCATGGGGATGCATCCTCTTTGTTTGGGTGCACAGCGCGAAATTCAATTATAGCGGCATTTCCCATATACACCATCGAATCAAACCGCCCTCGCAAAATTAGAAACCCTTTTTGCAAGACAAGATTTCGAAGTGATTGGTCGAGTGGAAGTTACAAAGTCAGATTAAATGCATGCACACACAGTGTTGTAATTGAATTGCCGTTGCATTCAGGCTAGACAGTTGCTGAACTCCGTGGAAATTATCATTATCATGATGTCAAACTTCCTCCTCTTTCGCAATATTTTCTTTCTTTCGTAATATGTGGTTCCCTGTTACATACCCATGGATCATGGCCCCATGGAACGTAATTGTCCGTGGACAATGAGCCCATTATGTGATGCTGTAGGCCTACTTTTTGTACAAATATAAATATCACATTATTTTTTTGGTAGTAGGCCTACAGTACAGACATTCATGTGTTTGCGTGATATCGAAGTGTTTAGGTATTTACCTGCGCTTACCATGCCACTGGACACTACGTAAACCAACTGTGATACCTTATACCAGTAAAGACCAGTTTTGCATAGACAAACCCAACATCAAAACCAAACAAACTAAAAAAGTAGGTCCAGCTTTTGATGAACCGTTATTACAGCCATGGTACCTATTTCGTTCACATATCCCACACTGAAAATTGCCTTGGTTAAATTTAACCCAAGGGAGGGTATAAACTGTAGGCCCAACTACCCAAAAATGAGTTGTTCAACCCAATTTTGAGAATTCAAATTAATTTCTGCTTCACTGTTCTCCTACAAAATGAGCTTATGTTCCTTTTTGGAAATTAATTTTAACCACTAACATTGGGTTGACACACTGCAACCCAAACTTGGGTAGTAACATGTCCCCCCCCCCGCCAGGTTATACTTTAATACAGACATTCTTCAGTGCAAAAACAAGCGTTGTCATACACCTCTTGAATATACGCTCATATCCCATCTGTCTATGCTTACAAACTTGATTGTTTGTATTCTATCTTACGACTGCATCTTTTGTGCCTAAAAATAAACGACCATGATAACAATCCTTAAATGTAATCGCTACATACGTCGACTCATACGTGTACGTGGAATTATCTAAAGGATGAAGGGTCAACAACTCAACATCGTGACATGTATGCGAGTTCACGATGATTTCCGTTGACTCGATCAATGGCCTATGCTGTTGTCACACTGGTTCGCTGGCCGGCGATGCCAACCCTTGACGAGCAAGTTGTCAAACTCTTCTCGTTCGATTCATTAGTCATTTCGAACACGCGATCATATGCTAAACTGGTGATTCCACACGGGTAAAGGTTTGTTCAGGAGCCCACTCCGATGTAGGCCTATGCGAGTTCACGATGATTTCCGTTTCTGTGTTAAGTTTTGATATCGTTGTAAATTTATCCCTCTTAAGAATGGGTTTCATTAATTTTTTTAATTTTAAATCCTGCAAGGGCAAGCATATTATTCGGAAGAGTTTGAAATATCCTGGATGTAATGATAAGATAAGGACTCTACGAATTCTGCCCTCCTTTAGTAACGCTTTGCACTAGCACAATACTGTATGTTATCAGGTAAGTTTCTGGTTTCGAATCAACAAGTCGCTTGGTACGCTGATCACGAAACGGTGCAAGGGTTCAGTAGGTCAGGGGATTCAAGCAACCATGCACGCCATTATGCGCAATAAACAGAAAAACTCATAACTTCAAAAGGCGTCCAAATTGACGATTAAAAAAAAACACACGAACAAGAAGTTTGGCAACTCCTTCTTGGTGATGAGGTATTGAAAATAAGGCATCTGGGTTCACTTTAAAAGTCAATACGGAAAATCCATGGACGAGGAATCTGTTAGTGTTTCGGTCCATGGGGAGAACTTTGCTGGAAATCAAGGTGAGAAATAATCCCCCGTTGTATTTGAAAAAAGTTTCGGAGGTTGGAGACTCGAGAAGATATATCACATTTCCAAAATAGTGTAAGTCAGGTCAACTGCTGTCGTTATCCTACTGGCCATGTATGGTGACGTAAAATTGAACTGCCTTAAGTATTACATCATATGCAACTGAACGAACAACTTTCAGCCCGTCATAGTTCAAAATGAATGTGTAACCTTCACGTACAAACAAAATGGGCGGGTGAAATTATAACCGAACGAAAGTTAGAAACTTCAAATTAAAATATGTAATTTATTATAAATGATTGTTTTAAGCAACACTTCAAAAAATGAGGCATGGGACCTAAAAATAGTCTAGCACCACCCCATTCAACAGATAACATAGAATGAGATAGATCGACGCAGGAGAAAATGTTTGTGTTAACCCAGTTTGGGGGATTTAGAATTAATTTCTGGTTCATTTTCACACAGGAAATGGGTTTAAATTAACCATTTTTGGTTAAAACAACCCCTGGAATTAATTTCAAGTATAGGGTTGACACAACCCAATTCGGGGTAGCTACAGTTGCCAGGTTGAAATCTAACTCAGGAAAATTGTCCAGTATTTAAATCAATGGTTTTCTTCTAAATATCTGAGCAAAATTGTTAGCACGAATAAAAATGCATGTGGCCAATTCCATGAATGTTTCCTCTAGCGAGAGGCATGCACTGCGGCGCGGGATGACTGCATTATGTCTTTTAAATCGTGGTCAGCCCATATAGAAATGTATCTTGTATACAGAAAATGACAAAGTCAATTGGTAGGCCTAACACTTAACAATGACGTTCTTCAACCGACTTGGCAATCATGAAACAGCACACGTATAATCAAAGAGAGAGTGTACTAGTGAGTCAAGATGGCTTTTACGCTTTGTGTCGGCCTATGTCGTGGCCAAGGGTTTTTAGCGTCGAGATGCATTATGGACGTGTCCCCACTCACCTGTAGCGGAGCAGAAATGTCAGTGCGTCGCTCGGGCAGATGACTCGATCAATGGCCTATGCTGTTGTCACACTGGTTCGCTGGCCGGCGATGCCAACCCTTGACGAGCAAGTTGTCAAACTCTTCTCGTTCGATTCATTAGTCATTTCGAACACGCGATCATATGCTAAACTGGTGATTCCACACGGGTAAAGGTTTGTTCAGGAGCCCGCTCCGAAGTTCACGCTATACATAAATCATTCCTTAGGCCTAGGGGCCTCTATATTCTGTGGACTAACTGAGATCGAGTGGCCGCAGGGAGACAAAAAAACGAATGACACATCTCGATTTTGTTTTTGAAGCTATGTAGACGATGTATCTCTATGGCTCCTTGGTAATCTTCGGGGCGGCATTGCCCCGATAGCATTTCCGACGGGATTTGTAATCGGTCGCTTGACAGTGTCCATCTAAAAATTTAATCTGGTATCACCGTTGCACTTTGCTCCGTCTATCTCTGATTACCAAGCGCCGGCCATGCAGTTAATATTCGTGCCGCTTCCCTTCGCCGCGCGGCGTTTACAGCGCGTGCATGCAATGCAGACTGGCCACGGCATCTTTTGTCTTGCAGTAAATATCACCTGGGCCGTTGCCATGGGCAAAGATGAGAGGAGTCGGGTAATGTTAGACCATCAATTCAGAAGCGTATCAATTGATTGGGAGCTCAAGTTCCATTCTTGGGATCGATGCCGGCCAGGCCCTTCCGCTCTGTATTCCACTTTCCCCCCCCCTTCTTGGCAAACTCGTCGGAATCCAGCCACGACGATGTCATCCGATCGCTACTATCGTGTTTTGGCCGCTCCGTCCCGTCTCCTGATAAACCACGGGCACATTTTAAGCATTCATCCCATTTTTTGGTTAAATTACCGCACACTCTTTCTGCCACTCCATCCACCTCGCCATTCACCATTGATGAGAGTAAATTTCAACCCTTGCGGCTCGAAGCACTAGGCCAATTCATTACGCCACGGCGACCTCTTTCAACATCGAAATACCATCCATTATACGTCTGTTATTTCCTTCCCAGCAGGTTCGTCTAAACGTTTGGTTCATTAATATCTATCCACTCGGCCGGGTCACGTGACTGTCACATCTATATTTGTATGTTTATCTATCTGTACCCCAGTGGGTCTTTGCCCACAAACACTGATGAATGATCACCACTGATTTATTCATTTGTATAGTTACATCTCAAGACTAAACCAGGACCGTAAATACTCAGCCTTCTGGGGCTGCCTCCCGTAAACCCCGTCGCGTGTCGAACAACTCCTCAACACACTCTGTAGGCCCTATTTACACATTCTTTTCCATTGTATCCCCGGCGGTGGAACATTACGAATACATTACGCGGTTTTGCATATTAAATTATGACAGGGCAGAAATTACACAAGATAGCGAGAATACTCACCAGGTACACTGCGTTACATGAAATACAAAAATACAACGAGTGTTTTCTGATGTCATGCGACATTTAATCTCAGTCAGCGAAAAATACCCTTTTTGCCTTCGGTTCCAATTCAGACTCGAGCCAGAGGGAAAGAGTGCGGCATTTTGGCGGGAATAAAACCGAGGGCTATACATAATGACGCATTGATCGCACATTTCCACCCCGGATATTGACGTTTCACTGCACAAGAAAAGAAAGGGGGAAACTTGCAGTGTAATCTCTCGCCACATACTCGGAAGTGTCTAGCATCTGTCAGTCGATATTTCTTCAACAGGGAAGATGAGGTGCATCACTAGCATTAAGCATTTGCCTTTTTTCCCCTCTAAACAAAACATTTGAGCAGGATACTCACCTTTATAAAGGGAAAGACCGTTGATTTCACGCCTGAGAAGTTTGAAGGCGGCATGATGCTTAAGTCACGGGAGATACTGGGCCTCTGCCAAGAAATTAACACCGCATTCACGCTGCACTACATACCTTATACAACTTCATGCAAACTGGTACAGTTGGAACGAAATCCCTAAGTTCCAATTATCACATCTTTTAAGACGGTCAGAGACAATATTAACCTTTTGTACTTTGTAATTGACGGTCAAAGTCAATCTTAATGCGCTTCGCCAACAACGCAACACACGATGTCCCTATCTGTGGATTTTATCAGACAGATATCGGTTGTTTGTGGCAATGACAGCCGTGCTGCGTGCGTAAGAACAGGTGGTGCAGGCCTAGCACGTCACACAAAAACTGATGTTGTAATTCCTTCCGTCATTTCCAAAATTATGACTGCCGATATGCATCTTTTCAAAATTTCTGCTGTCGACTCACTGTCAAAGGAGACAAGAGTTTCATTAATAATTTACCGAGGTCAAAGAGCAGTCATTTGGAAGCCGATTTTATGGTTTTGTTGTCTAGTTGCGCGCCAGAAAGAAGGTGGTTATCGCTCCTTCCATCTGAACAGTGACCACTAACATTTCGTACGTGCAGCTGTGTGCATTAACTTCAATATGTATGGTTCTGATTGACACCACGCTTGTCGTGTACCTACATCGCGATTTGCATGGGGTGCGATTATGAAATTAGATAAAACTCTCCCGACTGAATGGGCTATTTAGGTCCTTAAAATAAACTGGTGACGCTCTTTAAAGAAATGACATCAGTTGATTGTCCTTTTCTTGAGAGCTGTACTTTCCTGTTGAAAGAATTTCTTCATGCGAGAAATTTAAAATAAATAGACATGGAACTTGATATTACATTCGGATCTCTGTTTTCAGAAGTCATTTAAATGCTGTCTGCACTTCATGATTAAAAGTTTTTGATAGCATAAAACAAGGTTCGGTCATAAGGTATGTAAACGCTGATCGGACAGTTCTTTGATTTGTCATCAGAGTCACTGCTCGGCATAAGCATGCGCTTGTGAATGTACACTCTGCTAAGCGAATAGGACTTTCAATATATTCGACACTAACTTAACTTACCTGTAACTGTAGGCCTTTTTTGCGAAAACTCATTTGAAAGATGATATTCATTCTTATATGAAAGACAATCAACAGTTCATTGCCAAATAACTGTTCAGAGTGAGAACCAGAACGCCCCTCGGGCTCCAAAAGAGAACGCCAGGACAATCGCGTGAACGTGGTTTTACTGTTTTTTTCCCGATCAAATATAACCACTGTCGTGCCACTAAAATGCAAATCAGTCACAGTGGTGCTGTGCTGTAGTCCAATGAGTTAACGAACCAACAAACGAGGAAGCAAAACACTGGTATTGATGGTGGCCCTATAAGTACTTGTACAAGTGAATACACTTCGACTTGTGAGTTTATTGTCAAGTATACAGCCGTAGTACGCAAGCATGTGTGAGATACTTTTATGGCATGAGATTTGAAGCATGCATGTTCAAAACTGTTCGTCCACGCCCTTACATTTTTAAAGAAATGGAATTCAGTCTTGCATCATTGCGCATGCACAACGGCACAAAGTACAAACATGTCGATTTGTTATTCAGGGGAACTGTACGAGGAAGTGGAGGTGGGTTTATAAACTTTATATTTCACCTTTTATAAACGCAGTCGATACCAGCCATTCTGGTGTGCAAACAGAGACTGCACTTAGTCGGGTTCCATTACAGAAAGATGCAGCGTCATAAGTCATAAGCTCACGACGACGAGATCATACAGTAACTCTTCGATTGATCACAGGTGGGGATGGGAGTGTTAATGAATAACGGTATGACCTTTTTCGGCCTGAGCAGTGTTCCATCATCTTGTGCCAGATCCAAGAATTCAAACAAACAGCGAGTGCTGATATTGATGAATGAGTGCGCCGGCTCGCGCTCACCAAGATATCTCTGGGTATTATCCAGTGTGTAACTCCTCTTGTGTGAGTGCAAGGAAGGGGCATTTTTTTGTTTCCAGTTGCTATAAACAACAACAACAGCTACAAACAACAACAACAACAACAAACTTTCAGAGCTGTTGTTGTTAATCAAACCCACTCTCCAAAGCAGCTCTGAGATAGCTCGAGACCTTTTGGCATTTGACATATTAGCGATAAAGAAAAGCACCTCAGGTTTCATCGTCCCTTGATAAAAGAGCAGGTCCTTATTGTCCTTTGATTTTTCGCGCCACACGGAGAGTAACGAGTCCGGAGCTGTTGGTTTACCATTGGTTTTCCACTACCGTTTGACCAAGTCATGATACAAGTAACTCCAAGATGAGTGCCCGAATTGTCTGCACACTAGACTGTATGCTCCAACAGGTTGAACAGAACAGTACAAGGGCCGATTGGAGGAGGGGCATAGCCCCTGTTGCCCTCCCCCAACCGACCAGGCGTATCAAGTTGCTGCAGCAGAAGGGGTAAAATTTGAGAGAGGGGGTCTGAAAAGGTTGCTGCTGGATTTTTTGTTCAGTCAAGCATTGAAGTTTAGAATGAGAACATCAAAAGTGAGGTTTCCGTGTTTGCACTGGCTTCAAAGTCACCTCCTAACTGAAGAGTTTCCTTTGGAAACAAATAAGAGAAATAATCAAACAAGAACGAGAAGTAAGGAACTATAAGTGACCCACCTTATCGAGCCAATGACAACGTTGCCACCATGTGCGTCAATCGATCTGGTACCTGTTGACTCGTCCTCCTTTTCGCTTCACTTCCGTCACATTTAATACGCACATCAATATCCGTTCGATACTCATGCCTCTATATAACATATGGGAAAAATCTGAGCACCTGCTTTTTAGGAAGAATAGACTTTGTGAGGCTTTATGAGGATACCGGTATTATTCTGGACACGACCGTGGCTCAGACGGGTTGAGGACACTAGACAACTTTATCAGCGGCAGCGGTCGTCGCGTCATCATTACGGGGTCTGCGCTGAATGGGCTTGAACCGACTGCTACTTCAAAATGAATCATTGGGCCGTTTCCGGCGCCCAGGCCAGCCGCACGGGGATTCCTCCAAATCATTGGCTGTCGAAGGCCCGCGCACAACTCCTTCCACCGTCCCAGTAATCCGAACGTGTCACAGAATGCAAAATGCTCGTAATGTTCCCAACTGTACACAGAAGTAACGAACTGGGCAGAAATTCTGATCACGCGTATTGACACAGAAGGTTTGGCGGTATAAAAAAAATCAGACTGACATTTACAGCATCTAAACGTTAAACGCAGGTATGCATACAATCTTGCAATATTACGAAAATGCAGGCTGGTCGAACTTGCCGGTAAATTCGGTGATTTAGATTTTTGCCGATTAAAATATGTCATTTGACCAGCAGCGTCCGCAGGTGTTACCTTTTCCATGAAACTCCTCATGGGATAAATTGTGTCTCCGTGCCAAGTTGCTATTTTTATTATAGGATCCAATTAGAAGTGAACACGAGCCTCAGGCTAAAAGGTGGCAAAAACTTAGTAAAAAACAAGACACTTTGGCACATGGGGATATGTTCTTCGATTTTCGATTGCAGTTCCCTGAGACACAGGTTACAAGAAGCAACTTCGAAACAATTTTCAAATGAATATAGCTATAATGGGAACCATGCATGCTTGATGTAATCATCGGCAAATTAACCTACCTTGGATATAAGTACATCACCCGGGCCACCTTTTCGCGACTGACGACGCCTCGGTTGTGACAGTAGCACAGTAGCAAACGCGTTGTCGCCGTGTGCGTACACAGGATCCGCAAAGTTCGCAGACTGGGGATTCTCCTGCTGTCAACGGAAAAGGGAGATACACAGTGTGGCCTCGTTAAGAGCCCACGCGCACGTAGATTGATGGAACGGACTGTGTACCGAGAAAGAATCCCCCAGCGGGTAATGTACTCGCCAACGATAATGAGACTATTAGTCTGAGATGTACGGCGGGCCCCATTGACAGTAGTTTTTTTCTTCTGCTCAGAGTAGACCGCGTGGTGCGGTGGTGCCGCTTCCATGACAACGGCCGGCTGGCCCCAGCAATAGACTGTGAATTTTGATGTTTGGTGTATTCACCTCGCTCCCACCTATTTTTCATGCTGGTCATTACCTATAATTGTCTTCGTTTTAAATCTGTGCTGATAATCAGGCCCTTACGCTGAGAAAACTCGGTTCACTTCATTTGGAAGGAGATCCGGGCGTAGCGACGGACCAACCGGAACGAGGATATGGCGTCTTCGGATCTTGCGCCCCCCTCTCTCTCTCCTTCGGTGACGCATTTCGAGAGGCTCCTCAGGTGCCAAAAAGTGCCGAATGCTCTCACAGTCATGAATGATTCAACGGCACACAACTCTCGGCTCGGAAATTGAAATATTGCACAGGTCTTCACGCCAGCGTGGCCTATCCAAGAGGCGTTGTACCTCCCCCTGAATTAAAGCACGCATACGAATAATGGCCATGTATGTTGCTGCCGCCCGTTGTAACTTGTAATTGATAAATGCATGGTAGTTATAACTTCCTATGTTAAATTAAGAAACTTAACCACGCTTACATCTTCCATCCCGACGTTACAAATCGGCAATGCTCATTTATGTGGCAGAATGGTGGATTTCTCAAACAAAAGAATGTGTGTGTATATATCTCTATATCTATATATATACGTGCGCTGTTATCCACGTTCACAGTGCTCTTTCTGAGAAGTGAGCGCGCAGGCATTACAGCACGGCATTTATCAATATCGGCCTAGACTCCCCGGTAAGATTTCTGATTCTAATTTAATATCGCGAACCCTTTCACGGTGTAACATTCAGTGCCCGAGATGGATTTTTACCTGTTAATCTGTAAAACGAACCTCCATCTACGTCCAAACTTGTGTCTCACGTGGGCCAAAGTATCGTCTGACTGGTGTTAGTTTCATCATTGATCTACCGTGCCTTATGTTAGGTTTTAATGATCGACAGTTCTTCAATCTGAATTTGGATATGGTGAAATGAAGTTCTCATTATAATAGTTCTACCGTGGTAAATACGTCTAGAAGTCATTTCAGAGAAAGTAGGCCTATTCACATGATGGCAGATTCGGCATTAGGCCTATTTGATACCAGATTTTTTGGTCTTATTTAACAAATAATGAATATTTATGATCGCCATGGTAAGATTACTTTCATGGGCTAATATAACTGAGATAAAAGTCATGCGTATGCAAGATATTATGACTCATACATGAACAAGTGGTAACCATTGTATTCCTGGTATAGTCTCTCATTCCACACGCCGATGTCTTAAGCGAAACGTTTCTACAAACGTCACGGTTTCAATGAACTGGGCATTGAAAATCCCCAAGCCTCACTGATGGAGACTACGTTACTTTGTCAAGACTGGATACACGTTATGCTAACAGTGAATTTTTTTTTCTCTATATCACAGTAGCTGTGTTACAAAATGTATCATTCAGTGAGTGTGCTGCAACTGGGTCTGATATTAAATAAAACCACGTAGTCACTGTTTCCTAGCCCCGTTAAAAGATTTCGGATGAAAACCTAGTAACCGAATTCTGTCACACAATTCATGATGACCTTTTATCAGAGATCAGATGTTTGATTACTTTTTGTGTGTGTCAATCAGTACCGACCAATATTAACTGATTTTTTCTTAACAGGCTTGACGAGTTCCAAATTTTCTCGAAATCCTTGACACGGCGATGCAGTAATCTAAATTGTCACTCCCATATTTCTTCGGCGCCCGTGTTTAATACTCTCAAATTTGCTTAACGACGGTGCCTACAGGCATTTATTGGGAGAGCCGAGAGAATATTTGCTCTCATTTTTTGGTTGTTATTATGCGCGCGGGGCGGAAATCAGGACGACTGAAAGTCCAAAGACGAACTTCGGAATAAATCAAGGAAAGATATTTATTACTAAAGGTCCGTAACCGTTCCAAGGCGTCTCTGGTAACTATGTACAAAACGCATGATTTGCATTATATTATGTTGGTCAAGAGAACGTCTGACTGTCCGGGGCCAGACTTTTTAATTTATGATTCTCTTGCGAACGACGGAGACCACACGATTAGTCAGGTTTTCAGCATCGATTAAGTCGGGGGGGAATCTGCTATGGCGTCTCTTTCAGTCACTCTTCCTTCCGCAAGCTTTCTTGTTTTCCTTCAAGTCCTTCTTTTGCCCTCAGTGCTCTTTAAGTTGTCTCTTCGTCAGTTGATCCGATATTTTAAGTTCACAATCTGCTAAGAAGAAAATTAAGCCACGACTCATGTAAGAGTAGGCCCCAATTAAAATTTCAGACGAAAACCAGTGACACAATGTGCACACGCCACGTGATCTTCGCATCCTCAAATCCTTCGAATCCTGTGCAGAGCTATGGCTAAGCCTTGCGCGGTCGGCAGTACGTGAGCACACGTACGTCGACAGTCGACGCGACGTAGCCATCTCTGAAAGCTCTTCTAAGGCACTGCTCGTGGGCCATCTGGGTCCCAGGTGTTCATAAAAACTCTCAACCTTGAATCGACATCACATCTAATTCAATTTCCTCACAGTCTTCCCATAACTCCGCCCCTCCAAGAAATAACACAGGAAAGACAGGCGACTATCATCCCGTTACACATTTGATGCAAACTGAGAGAACCCCCCCGCCTTTGTGTTGGTCATTATATACTGTTATCTCAGGAATTCTTTTCAGACATCGAGGGGGATGTGTTAAGTGACAATGGGCTGAAGTGTGTATAGGGATTGGACTTATGGGGGGGTACCCCTCCGTCCCATATCGTGTCTGGTATACGGCACACGTACGCATACGTATTTAGCTCTCAATGTTGAAGTGTTTATTTCATTTAATTATCTATTAATCAAATTTGTTTGTTGCTGGTTTGGAAAAAAATTGTGCTACGACCAAAATTTCAGGCCCCCCTACTTTTAAAAATTAATTTTCGCTGAATGGAACTCGATCGTCTGTGTATTCCTTGAAAAAAATGCTGCAGTAGTAGGGGAAGATTTCTGGTTTAATGGTTATATTAACCTTGGAAAAATACACCCGACAGTGTCGCGATATGGTTTAATGAACGTGTTAGCAGTCCCCAAGGGAAGTTTTATGTGCGTCATTTTGCTCGTGATTGAAATCTCAGGGATTTCTGTTACTTCTCGCGTTGGCTCCGTGCGTCTAAAAATAAGTGCGCTCTTACGGATCTCGCACATGACAAGTTTGGCAGGGTATCTGTCATGTGACTCCTTTTCTTCAAAGAAATAAGAATTTACACGGCAAACACCACGGCCTTAAACCGTTGTTAAGGCACACTGTTACACATGACGTCGATGATACACAAAGTTTATTTGTTTTCAATATATATATCAGTATGTCTCACCCACTTCCACCTTTCTTGTAACTTTTGTATGCATCTTCAGGCTATCCTTTATACTAAATTATTATATGAAATAAAGAGCAGTGAAATAACTCTGACATTTCTAGTTGGAAACAAAAGACAATTACATATCGACCGTAAAGAACATGCTTTCAAAGTTAAGCGCAAACAAGCGATTCATTTGGCGGTTAAAGTGGCCGAGAAATTTGTACACTCAAAATGTCTTATTTTCATGGTTTTTTTTCTTCACTGTCACAATTTGTGTATAGGGCGCCATCTAGATAACCTTCTACTCAGAGAGATCATCCTACTTTAGAGCTAGGAATGCCTCCACTATGAAATATGGAAATAATGAATAGTCTTATTATACTACATAAAGCATTTATTTGGAGACAAGAATCCCTGAGACGCAAGTCCGTTCATGCATTCAGTTAGTGTTGTTGTTTGTTTGATAGTGGTTAATTACTGTTGCTTGCTTCAAGCTTTTGCCCTAGCAGAATCATAGGGAATAGCCCCGGCTAACGATTCCCTCCCTCCCCCTTCAAAGAAGGAGCATGAAGAAACGAGTCAAAATTTAAGTTGTGATGGTTTTATAACTACCATGTATTTATTCACACTCTCTTTATAAAACATTTAAATTAAAGAATGAAACTTTATTTGAAACTAGCAAAAGCAATATTCCAGGAGATGTTAAGACGTATCTAGCTGCATGTACCATTTGAAAGTGTGCAGATGCCGAGTACATATGCAGCTTGGAAAAACTGGCCGGTTGTATCACCGATTAGAGGTTATTTCAAAAACCTATGAGTGTATACAATGTACGTGAGCACATTGATGTCACACACGCAGTGCGTAAATTGTGTGGGATAAAATAACCACACGAAGTCGCGATTTGCCCACCCAGTGTTTTTGAGCCGCATACGTATCCAGCACGCGTACCATATCTAATGCTTTGATTCTTAATTCTGATGAAACTGGGTACCAGTGTACATGCCAAACTGTTCGTCAGACTCATACCGGAATCATTGGCGGGTCCGGGGGGGGGGGAACGGGAGCCACCCCCCTAAGAGCAAAACGTGAGTAAACAGCAATTTTAGGGACAGTGTCATTTCCACTTCTCAAAGCGTGTGAAAAGCCCCCGAACTTAGCCTCACAATCAGAGAGGCCATATTAAACTGTTACATAAAGAAATATCCAAATTGTTACCCCCCCCCCCTTTGGGGGACCCGCCCTTCACCATATTTAAGTAAAGACAATGGTAGGCCTATGTGTAACTAACAAGGTGGAAAATAAATCGTTGTGCCTTGATTGTTGCCATCGAAGAGAGAGAAAACAGTAATTTCAGTATGTAAAATAAACCGTTCCTGTGATTAAAAACCATCCCCCAAACCACCGGTGACTTGGAATTAAAACCAACGGCACATTTACGTCCCATTTAATTTAGTCAACCAGAGGACGTTCTGCGGGTTTCACTGAATCAAATAAACCAAAGCCGATGATTAATGTTTCCCCTACATCCCAACCTGCTCTTTGTCTCTGCTCTTTCCCTTGCTGTGATGATGGATCTGTCCACTTTCTTTATGTGACATTATCTCCCAACGATTACCCCCTTCAGTCCCACAGGGTATCCATTACACAGGCAGCCTGCACTGCCATTGCCGTGACATTTAGGTAAAACCGGGGGGGGGGTTGTCAGGACATGTTCAGTTTTCCCGCCAAGAAGCTAAAAGCGACACGCCTCGTGTACGGGACCTATAAAAAAGGAGTCTTGAGGCAGGATGGATGGCAAACAAAAATGAAAGCTTCAGAAAAAAAAGCAGAGAAGGAAGACACAGCGCTAGCCCACCACAACCTCATGAAGTATTCCTGAATCCAAGTTCTCCAACGGAGTAATAAAAATTGACCTTGGAATCGAATTTTGAACACCGATTCAATGTTAACCAAGGGCAGTGTCTTATCCAAAGTCACGCTTTGTCTTACTTTAGTTTCGATTAGGCACCGCAGCAAAAACAAAACAGTTGAATTTCAAAGAATGTCACTTAACAAAGTTGTTTGTTATCTGTTCCAGATGGGAAATGGGAAACGTTCAGCGTTCTACCTCTAAAGATATCGTTGAAAAAAGTTTCGATCGAATGAAAAGTGGTTCTCTGGTTTGATGTTACATGCCAAGATACAATTGAGACGATGAGCAGACTTTTTCACGGCTGTGTTGGGTTAGACGATGTGCCGGGGATGATGTGAAATGATGAAGATTTTTTCGAGGAATGATTTTTGTCCAGGTTTGTCAATCCTCTGCGAGGGTTACGAGTCTTGAATTACACTCGAAAAACGAGTTGGGCACTGAAGATGGGTCAAGCTGGATTTTCCGGACAGCGGTCATTTTTATTGCAAGTTTTGTCTTACAATTTACCCAAAAGTCACCCACTCTTTGACCAGAAGCTGGAATACCCAATTAGACCAATGTGGTGAACATGGTTGCTCCATCTTTTAAAAAGTGTATCAACCCATATTCTGAATTTATCGGACTAAGGCCTTCCTCAGAAAAAGAAAGGGGGCGAGACAATAATCCTCCCTCAAATCTTGAATTTGATCTTCACATTTACAGCATTCGTCATTACCTAAAAATATCTTGTATGCACATCAACCTTTCCTTAAAATTTGACCAATCCACATTAATCTTACGTTATCAAAAATGAAACAGAGATTTCTAAACAAAATTTCCCGGTTACTTTGAGAGGCTTAGAAACCTAGATAGGTGTTTCGCCAGAATATTCAATACAGTGATTCCTTGCAAAGATGAAAATGCGTAGATGACTAACGAACATGGGGCTTCTATAAATGACGTGATTGATAGACTCTGTGGGCAGAATAAATCTATTTGTTCTCTCGTGCACTGTTTGTTCCTAGCTGGGTATAAAGGTTGGCCCCTGTCAATCAAACTTTCATGTAAAGCTGGTGTCTGATACTGCCAGAGGTACTCCGACATTTTGCTCAAGATCTCTTCAATTATTTGCCTCTCTTTCTTGCACGGACGCATCTAACGCATGTTGTTAAAAGTACAAATGCAAAAACCAGCGCAGCAGCCTGTCGACGCACACATCTGCAAACTAATTGCATGTTGCAGTTCTACAATGACAGAGCATGTAAAGTGGCCAAGGTGTCAGCGTGAATTTGAGAATTGGCTCAAGTGCTCAGCTGAGTAGCTTCAGCCTAGAATTCATCTGCAGCATGACGATTGAAAGTGATCTCTGTTCAAGTCAACCCGTTTCAAGGGTTTGATTACAAAAAAACTTGGCAAATGTTCAAAGCGTCATCATCTCAAGAATCGTCAGGCTTGAATATGAAAATGCGTAGAATCCTCCAGATGCATGGTAAGAATTATGTACAACTATCTCTTTTCACACAGCTTGGGGTGTAATTTTATCTTTTAAAATGACTTGAAGAGATCAAAGAGCACAGGCTGCTGAAAACACAGAGTTGCTTAGCAAAGAAAACTAGCTAAGCAATAACACGCTACAAGCTAAAACGTAGTGTAAAGCATACTGCCTGTGACCCAGTCCCACGCTGATTTTTTTGTTTAGCATGAACATTTGATCAGCAATTTTTTTCGGCTCAGCAGTCTATGAAATCATGGCCCAGTTGTGAAATTTATTAAATAGGCTGCATTCAAGTGACTTGGCTGAGGCTTACAGGAGTACACGTACTCACGGAATGTAGCCGCATCCACTGACTAGTGGTTCCCATGGGTGCATGTGTTATCTCGGCTTGCTTTGTCATGTTGGGAGGTAGCCTTAATTGAATGTACTTCCATTAGGGCAAATTACCCTACTCAGTAATCATGCTGCAACTCAAAAATTGCAACCAACTGATGCACCACACCTTCAACCGAGTAGATTAATGCATTTCGTCTAGTTTGGTCTTACCCTCTAAATGTAGCTGGAAAAAGCCCTCTTCAGGTCAAAAATATACACAGCTGGTCAGTGAAATATTCATCATTGTTTGTATCTGTTAAAAATACGTCAAGGAAAATAAAAGGAATATGCCTGACACACAAACACTGGTGGAAAAAAATAATGACAAAAATAATATAAATCAACGTCCTTCACATTATTGTGTCTCTAGACAGAGTTGATGGGGTGGGGGCGTGGAGTTCCACTCAGTCCAGGGGGGTAGCTGCTATTGGTTCAACGACCATCTTTCCTGGCTCGTAACGACGGAAAAGGATGCTAGAGCCACGCTTCAGGAGGCCCTGCCACAAGGAAGCACACCAAGAAAAGCTCCATATATATTGCTCCGCAATAAGTTTCATGTTAGTTGATGTGGTGGGACGGGGAGGAACTCAGGATAAAAAATTCACCAAGCATGCGGAAGAGGAGATATAGTAATAACAACAAATTAAGGCGAGTCTCTACAGGTTATAATGGCTAACAAGGCATTCTCTCCCAAGGAGCTATGATTGTGTGAATCATTCACTTAGTTTTTCAGCACTGAGTGGAGAAACCAAAAACCCCAGAATTAGTGGTGGTGGTGGGGGGGGGCTGGTCGATAATCCTGACATCAAGAGATACCACCTGCCCGCCCCTATGTTTAAAGACCTTTTTCTATCCTTTTTGAACGGGGGGGGGGGAGTTCTGGCATCCTTGCTTTAACCTTTGCTGCGGCAAAAGAGATGGATGCGTAAAAATAAAACACTGGAACAAAAAGAACCCAGTTGGCGGGCAACAGTTCAAACGCCTCTCCAAAATCTGATCAGAGACCTCAACCGCAGCGGGTTCCAAGTCTTTGGAACATCAACGACACTGTCTAAGACGTAAAGCATCAAGTATTTGTTTGCGCATGATTTCCTCTGTACAGGAAAAAAAATTGACAGCAGCCGTCGTTGCCAAGCATCCTTCCCCAGCAAACAACGAGGCATGCAGTTTAGATTTCCTCTAACTGGTTGTCTGGCAACCAAATGTCCGGTTGCCTAGCAAAGTTTCTGAGCACTGTACCTCCTTATGCATACTCACCTTGCTCTTGAGATCTCGCCAGCAGTCTCTCCAGTCAGAATACTTGGGCATGAATGGTGGACTACCTGCGACCAGTCTGTATGAGAATAATAATAGGGGTTAGAGATGGGTGCAAAAGATCTCTAGCCTACAGTTTTCCTACGGACCACAGTTTTTCAATTTAATTAATGGGGAATGGTGCCAAGGGGGTCTGTCACAGGTGATCAGCGGGTTGGGATACCGTGTCCTTGAGCAGGTCACTTTACCCCAATTGCCTCTCTCCACCGAGGAATACAGCCAGGCACCTGCACTACTTGGGAAGCAGTCAACAAACCAGCTTCAGAAATGGAGGAGCAGATCATTTCATGCCAATGAATATGGAGACTACCAAAGGGCTCGCAAGTTAGATTGGCTTGATAACGGACTTGACTTTTTCTTTCGTAACACAGGTTGACAGGCCAGAGAGAGATCCGCCTAATATTGAAGAAGCGTCTTGAACAGCCTTTTTCAGATGATTTCAAATTCAGGGTATCTAAGGCGTCACTGAGTATGCAGGGGGATGGAAAACAACGAAAAGCTAGGCACAGTGCATGCTGGGAACCCACAAAGGTGGAGCTTTACGTACTACTAACTTGCAAAGCACCGTCAAGAAAAAAAATGTCAAAATCTACTGAAACAGTGTGGAAATCCTTTCCAAAAATAATTCAGATCTTTTTCCCAGCCGGTAAGGTCAATCAAACAAACACAAATTTCAGACCACTTTCCTTCAAAACATCACAAACTTACATATTAAAGCTGCATTTACGTATACAGACTATTTTCCCAGTTTCTGATGAAGATTGGTGCCTGGGAAATGAAATTTTCTGACACCGGGTTATACACTGTGTGATCAGGGCTTCGAACACCTGGTACAAAAACCTCACAAGTTTACTGGTCCCAAGAAGGGCAACATCCGATTTATTTTTCATACCTGGAAGTGTACAAATTAGTACTTGATTACAGCAGAAAATGCACATCCTTTGTAAGAACCCATGATTAATGCTAAAGGTCGTCAGTGTTACTAATAAAAACGTTACTCTTACTGACCCAGAGTCATTGACGGCCATCATGTTGCTGATAAGACCCAGCGGGTAAGTCAAGATTCCTGCCAAGAACTGCAGGAAAAAAAAACAAACAAACAAAAAAACAGTGGAAGCATTTTATTGACATAATTCAAATCAGTCCATTCTACTCAGTGTCATGTACTTAAAACACAAAGTTGGTCTCTAGATTCTAGACACACAATGCAAGCACACATCCACACAGAGCTGCCGGTCCGCAAGTCAAATAACGTCAAGTTTGAGTGACAAACGTTTGTCAACCAACGGTTGGTTTTCCCCAGGTTACCTACACATAAAATACATCGGGCACCAGGCAAAAATCAAACAGTGGCTGACAAATAGGGGTTGCTTGAACTGACCTGGAAACAATCCAAATCACATCATGGTAACAGCCCCCAATTTACACATGCAACAGGCATAATGTTTGCGTATCAAACATGTGCGGGATATCTGGAGCACTTCACTAAACGGTGCACGTGGACGCTGGATGGCCTTCGGAACAATAGTTGGCACATCTGGGCTGATCCATTGAACAAGACCGTAACTGTACAATAGATGCTTTGAGCCTCAAGGCTCTCTAATCCACATTCAATTCTTGTGGTGCACAGTCCCATTAGTTGGGTTGATGGAGTAACGCTTCTCTGCCAACTTGAGGAACAACCTGAGCCTGGCTGGTTCAACCCTCCTCAATAGATAATCAAGTGTACACGTATTAAATGTACCATTAAATCACCCAAGTTCTGTATTTGGGTGGTGAGAAAATGTTTAAGCAATCTTTGAACGACTTACCCCTGTGATGGCGTGTGCATAGCTCCTCAGTTCAGTGACATTCGTCATCTGCGAGAACAAACAGTCAAATGTGATCACAATGGCCACAAGTTTGCAGGGAACTTCAAGACAGAATGCTGGATGAACCATAGTCGTATAAAATAGTACCATTAAATACCACCACGTCTATTGAAAGAGTTACTCTTTAACATTTGAAAGAATCGATATTATAAATGTGTAAATATCTAGAAAAGAGGTCAAAGCATTTGCACACATAAGAGAATGGAGTTTGAACGCTACATGTTGCAAAAACATTCAAACAACAAACTTAAAATAACACATTCAAGAAATAATTTTCAAATAAGAGAAATCAAAAGATGGATTGGTCCTTATGAAGCATGTGAGGGCACGTGAGTGATTGAATTCTGAGAAGCGATTGACTGTAAAAAAAGGCAAGCTGACAATTTCTTTAGTGAATGCTCTTAAGAAGCAATAATCCAAGTGGAATTGAACGCCAGCCTATGTGTAAATGCCAGGATCAGAGGCGCCAGGATGTTCTTAGGCGCATGATCAATCAAAAAATCATCATGTTTTGACAGAGGCGATTAATTAACTTCTCAAGCAGGCCTGCGTCGTGGGCTCCAAATCAAATTTTCACTATCAGTACCCCCCTCCCAGAAAAAGGGGACGGCCAGTTAGCAATGCTCACTAAAAGCTTAGGTTGAAAGCTGGCACTCGAGATCCACAGGACTCGGGAGTGGTTTACATTTAATATTGTTCACAACAAAATGGTTACAAGACACTTGTCATATCGAGCAGGTACTACATGCCGTAAAAAGAGACTTATCCTTGAAGGAGGGGAATTGGAAAGAGTCATATATTAAAACTTCAAGTGCCGATATTTGGAAAGGACCCAAGCTAGAATTTCTGGTTTCATTACAGTACTGTGGTGGGAGATGTTTTTCTATAAAAAGCCTCCCAGTTCATGCAAGACCCTTTTTCCCCTAAAAAAGGAAAAACAATATTAAGGTACATCTGGAGTAGGATTTTTAAATGTCAGAATTTTACTCCATACAAGCAGTTATCATAAAACGGTGTTACCTAACATCCCGTCTATTATAAAAACAAAAAAACACTCGCATTAAACAAACAACATGTTTGCTTGATTAAAAAGTGGTTACCAAGATGGACTGTATTAAAAGATCAAACAAACGTGAATATGAGTTGAAAGATTACAACAGGGGAGTTGGTGTTCTGAATTTAAATGCACAGTCTGTCATTTGCAGCTATCAAAAAAAGTAACTGACGAAATGTTGTTGAAGAGCAAACTTGATTTAAAGATTATTGTAGGATTAAACTTTCTGGTGAGATTATTCTTTCTGGAAAGCTGTCATTTTTAAGAAAACAATGGTAGATGGTCATTTCCAACAACACGTCTAAAGATACACTTTCAGAAAAATGCAATAAGAAGTTCACGTGTAATTTGGTGAAAAATGTAAAGGCTGACACGATGTCACCCACTCACGTAGTTATTTTGAAATTTGTCCGTTCAATGCAATGTGTAGCTGAAATTGCCTGAATTAGAACGTGTTTGGCCTGCTGAATTCAAACACAATTCAAAACGTGACTTGGCAACTTTTGATTTGAAATAAAGATCCTGAAAGTATTTTTTTCAGGAAAAATGTATCGTTCACTGAGCTACGACCTCATCTGGGGACTCGTTTGGCACCTTTCTTTAAATTTTGAGCACTTTTGTTGCCTCAAATGACCACGATGCACAAATGACACACGACGGACTACCTTTTCAAGCCCCTATGTGGGACTCTGATATACGTAGGAACAACTGCAACTTTTTCACGGAGAACACTGTAATTTCTATCGAAACACTGACGAGACTTCTTAACTTGATGATGGATGTAGCTGATGCGAGTGTTGATTTTTTGTAAGTCTGAAGATGCTCTCAAAAGACACTGCATTACTATTGTGCATTTGACTGAACTTAATATTCCATGGACACAGCACTTGCGGGACTAGCAGAAATAACTGAGCCTTAGAACCACGTATGCGCAAGAACGGTAACAAAGACAAAAGCACTATGGCTTACTGTTATGACACGTTACATCTAGTGCCATTGGGTGTTTGCACCCAAGTTACCTTGTCATGTAGAAGGAGGGTGTTGAAAATGTGATAGAGAGACCTGGCTATCCACAGTGCCAGTACATCTTGAAGGAGTCTGGGAACAAGACCTCTGTTTGAGAGCAGTAAAACATGCAACGGTGAAAAATATGCGAAAAACTATACAGAGGTTTTGACTGTCTCGTATCAGTTTCTGAGGTCTGGGTGCTTTCACAGGAAAGCTTATTTTGTTTTGTCCTACTTGTTGACTTATTTCTCGTTTAGTTTTTCTTCAAATATTCAGAAATCCAAATGCATTCCCAGCAATATGCGGTGTTAATATTGTTGAGCAAACTAGAAAGGTCACAATGACAAAAGATATGCTTCCATATTTGTAAAAAAAAAATCATACAAGAATGGTAAAATACTTACACAAAAAAGCCTTGGATTCCACTATCGGAATATAACTCTGTATATGGTTCTAGCCAGCCACTGACAGAACAAAAGGAGATAAACACCGTGTTAGTTTGAATTTTAGGTTCAATAAAATGTAATGGTTTTTACAAAATAGTCACCCTAAAACCAATTCAAGAGCGAGTGTGTTGAAATTATAGGCCCTTCACAGTGATCCAAGAGAACTGCACAAAATTCGATTCTGAGATAGCCTGGTTGGCCATACCTGTACTTGGACTCCCGTCCAATAAACTGCACCATGGACCGAATGGCAATGACATGAAACGGATGGGTGACAATCATGGCACAGCCGTGGGAGACTGTCATCTTACAGGTCTGGAGCCAGGAAAAACAAAATACCATTTTCGCAATGATGCCCTGTGCATTATCACAAATACACTCCGTGCCTATACCAACATCACTGGTTAAAATGGTAGACATTTCTTCTGACACTTTAATAGCAACATTATTACTGTGCGTCCAACTTAAGATACATACTGTGCATGCGTCAATATTAATGAGTTAATGGTATCTTGGGCCGTGTCCGAAACGGGCTTCCAGAGCTATGGCTAGATCTATTGTCAGCGCGTCTCCACGTACTTTCAATGGATTGAAGACCTAGACCTAGCTTTAGACATCAGATTCGGATGGAGCCTTCATGTCAGCTGAAGACTGGTCATGTGCACTTCAAGACATTTATACACAGGAACCAGCGTACACCTGTGTTGAGCGTAATCGGTCAATTGTGCTGCATTATCTGTCAATATCATAGGAAATCTTAGAGCTAACTTCCCCTTTTCAAACCAATCTCTGACAACTGTGATTTAGACAGGAAAGGTGATTGGCTGATGGAGGGAGGAATTATGGACAAGTCGTGCCGCAAGATTGACCAACTGCACAGAGACTGACCAATCACGCAGAGTGAGCTATCGTACCAAAGACATACACATGTCTTCACAGAGTCAGTAGTTCAAGAACACAAGCCTGTGCATATGAATCCCTCACCAATGCCTAGGGGGGAGACCGGGCCGAAAGAGGGCTGTCTAAGTCCGTGTTGCAACTGCTCGGCTATGGCTTGAAATTACACATAAGTCTATGGTTGTGGCTGCAGCCACTTCCCATAGAGTTGTGTGCAATTTCAAGCCACAGCCAAATAATTTGGAAATGGCCCTGGAATCAGTGCAAAGTTGTGATGGGCTCGTGCTCTTCAGGCTGGGGTACCCACTGCCATGCACAGTGTCTACGCCCCATAGGACACTGTTCCTGGGTTAACAAAGTCGCCCTCTCCCATTCACTCACGGCGCCCATGGCTAAATAGTGTTTTACATCACGCTGATGTGACTTTGAACGATGACTGGAATACTTATTGTGCACACTATTCTGCACAGTGCTCAAGCCAAGTCCAAAATCTTGTGTCTACAGCTAGGTCTAGGTCATCACTAGTTGCAAATACATGGGCAAAAGCTGTCAACAGATTTAATCTCAGCCCAGATCATGAAGAGAGATATGTCCTCAAGTTATGGCTATGGCTGAAAAAATACACATGTCCTGTTGAAGCCACTTGCTGCTGGCTGAAGCCATTTTTTTCATTGGAGTGTGCATTAAACCCTGTCACAGCCAAATGATTCTGACATGGGGGGGGTGTCAAGACATCGAGGGTAAATTTGGCTGTTCCTGGTCGCTTTGTGGTAGAGATGGACCAAGACCAGACAAGATGGAACCTCACACGTTAACGGCAGTTCATGTGCACATGCAAAGTGTCTTTCATTTCCTGCGATGGTCTGCACTGTTCCAACTGCAGAGGCCCTTGTGCAAGGACCATGACATACAAACTTACTGAGGTGCTTTAGGAAGAAAAACTTAAGAGAAAACTGAGAAAAGGTGCTTTTGCACAGCTCACCTCTAGGACAAACGTTCGGTTGGATACAATGGCAGTTCCCTTGGGTTTTGTCTTGATGGCTTCTTTGTCTTCCTCGTCAGTGACCGGGAAAAACTCGTCAAGTTTCTTTTTTTTTGCCAAAGAGAGAAGAAGTCATTCAGTGAATTCGACCACATGAGAGATATCATTCACTTAGACACGTTGAAAAACCAATGCCGGTTCTCTGAAATTAGACCATAGAGGGAGACTACGATCAACGCACCTGCGCAACTTTTGTTGCGATGACCGATCCGGACACAGTACCACAGAGACGAGGCACAAAGCCTCGATACAGGCCCAGGAAACCATCCACTTTGTAGATATGACGAGCTGCCAAGGGGAATTTTGAAAACAATAAAAATCAGGATCCCTTCAAAAATGAAAAACACCGAGGGTGACATGATGGTAGGTAGATGTGTCTATCTGCAAAACACAGGTAGACCTTGAACAAAGAACACTAGAACAATTAGCCGATCATAAAAACATGCATTTACTTTGGGAAAAATTTACTAAGTGCAGTGAAGAAATGCATCAAAAAGTTGACATCAACTTGAAAAACATTCAACCTGATCAACATTCAGTGTTTACTGTGCCTCAACTGCATTTGAATATGATCAGTTCCTGCCCTCTGTACTTATGTTACTTTTGTACACACGGATATCAAGGTAGACGGAAAAGGACACGTAGAACGACGTGTGTCATATGCATATTATGCTCCGCGAGTGCACAGTACGTGTCCTGAGCATAATATGCATATGATGCCCATCGTTCTACGTGTCCTCCTTGTCTGTCTACCAGGTATCAACAATGAACTAGATGGTGCTTGTGTGGCAAGAAAATAAGTGTACGGAGGAGCTTTCAAAGAGACATTTTGAAAACAACCATTACAATTGATGGCAGGATACATGACCTAAAAAAAAGTCAGGAAAGACTTTCAACTTGTAGAAAACCTTGTTGCATTTCTGACAGTGTTGCAGTTGAGTACATTTTCACCAGCAAAGACTCAGCTGTTTATTTCAAAAACAGTGAGCCAGACATTGAGAGTAGACAGTAAATGATGTCAGCGAAACAAAGTTAATAACGTAAGGGCTTGAGACACATAATAATACCAAAAAAATTAAGCTTTGGTACAGAAGTGCACGTACTCCAAAAAAAAAAAATCAGCAAGTACCTTCGAAAAATGTTTGTCTAAAAGTCTTCGGTCTGACTGTCCAGACTTTTAAATTGTTTTTGGTACCTTCTATGTGATATCTGTATTTTACAGTTCTATCTCGCTACAACACTGAATATCTGGCAGCAGGCTTGGTATTTGGTACATGTACCCTGTTTTCTGGACAAAATGTATTGAAGACTACAGCAGTTATCTAAACAAGATTCACAAAAACAAACGTACAGTATGCGAAAACTCCAGGTAGAAGTAGGGTCTTGCGGAAGAACACATTTCGGCCAGGTTGAGGAGGGAGAGGCTCATATCCAATCTGGGTACACAAAAAATGAACAAGAAAGGTGTGAGCGACAAGCTGAGTCCATAAAACTCATTTTTTTCCCCAAGAACCATTAAGGTATCACAAATAAGGAACAATCTTCCTCAGAATGTCATTCATTCACATGAACAACATTCACCTAGAAATCATGGCTACTGCCACTTTTGCACGATGCTCACGAGGCATACCCATGTTGGGTGCGAGCTGCCTATCTGCACGATCGCACAAATGCTCTGCGTGATTCGATTGGTTGATTCTGAATGAAATCTTGAACTTAAGTAAGTAGAAATTAGAAAGCAAAGGGTGATTGGTTGACATGCTAATGGCAGAATGATTGACAAATTGTGAACTAAGATTGACCGCTCACATTAAGATCGAGTGAACATGCATATCGACCGATCACGCCCAACATAATTGTAACTAATATAAAATAAGGCTTGTGCACTACCAATGTGAAGCTAGTTCCTCGTTCAACATTCAGTGTTGAACAAGAAACCGTTTAATATTCCAACACTGAATAAGTTATCGTTTGACATTCAGCGTGCACACCCCTTGAAATGATGGAGTGCAAAACGGACCCCCCCAAAAAAGGGCCACAATGCACATCCATTCACATAAACCTTATTTACATTGTACATGTCTTGCCACAATGACGTATACACACACAACTCTCTCCTTCAGAGGCAACCCTGTGGGCATGGGGTTTGGGGGGTCAAACAAGACCTGAAATGTGGGCGACAGTTTTTACAGAACTATAATTATTAGAGGAAAAAATGGTTAGCTTTATACACTTGCCGTTTTCATCGGAACTATATCAGTCAATAGAAATTATATACATCAATCCCACGCCCTGGCTCTAAACTTCTTTTATCAAAGTGCTTCTGTACAATTTAGACTAAAGTGACCTGTTGCCTCCATTTCAACCAGGGCAAACTCTACCCCCAGAATTGTGGGGTCCCACGTCCAGGGTGGACATGGGACTCCACAGTTCTGCAGGTGGGCAAAGGTAGTTTTACACAGTCCAAACGGCTTTGAGGAATGTCTTGTCAGTGGCATTCTTCGCTTGCAACTCAGAGTGGGAAAGTCAATGCATCACACCACACTCTTCTAAAATTGAAATGAAATACCCAAACCCCATGCCCCACCTGGAGATTACATTGAATCTGATGTCATTGTTCTCCTCAATCTGCGACGACTCCTTGCAACCCAGGGCATGGTGTTCTTCAGCCTGAGTTCAGGGTTAAAAAAGCTCTAAAATTAGCTCTGCTGAGTGGAGCGTTAGTATTCCTCTTTTTTGATTTTGGATGGGATCTAGTAGTATGACAATCCCGTCCAAAATAAAAAAAAAGAAGGAATACTAACGCTCCACTCAGTAGAGCAAGGGGCCTACTCTAAAATGTAGTTGGCACAGTTTTTTTGGTCCCTTTTGTTTGGCACTGCATCACTTTCAGCATGTTTACGGGTGTGCATCCTGAATGTCAAACGTGTTACCGGAAAAAAATGTCGCATCCTGACTCCACTTCAGCAGTTGTGTACAAAGTCTACGGGGAGTGAAGAGAATTTAAAATGTAACATAAACGTTTCTCAGTCCAGAATTCACGTCTTTCCACTTTCCAGCATTTCTGTAATGACCAACTTTTATTGAGATGATATGGATGAGAAAAGTGGAGTGAGACTGCAACATTTTTTCCCGGTTACCTATTCAACGTTGAACATCAAACAGTTCAACTTGTTCAACACTGAATGTCGAACGATAATATCACACCGGTTTGTCATGTTGGTGCACGACAGTGTGCTGGTGAGTGCGCACACACAGGCCAATTGTCACGAAATAGGTTCAACACATTTCGAATACATTTCGTTTACCAGGCAACGATTGGTCAACTTTATTTCTTACACACAGGCAGCAACACTCTTGAGATTTTAAAGTTACGATACTACTTCTACAATCTACCTGAATCAGTGTTTTCACGTAGCCCATGGGATGGGCTATAGCTGTAAGCCCAACATTTAGGGCTAGCTGCACCAAAGGATCTTGGCTAGGCTGCTGTGCCATTTTCGTTTCCACTCGATGTCAGAGATCTTTCTCAGGGGTAGGGTGTTATCTGCAGATACTATTACCAAAAGCATTAAGTGGCACTGATTTGGGCACGAGGTATTGGTCGCTCACTGGTTGGCGACGGCTGTTTTGTTATTCGAAGGTCGATACCGGTGATGCGACGCCGCGCGCGATCGCGACGACTCAGATTCTGATTTTTTTTGTCCCCAGTGGCACGGCCCCAGCCCCCCCCCCTTGGCTACGCAACTGGTACACAGCTTATCTTTATAAGCCACGGTTCATTTTCTATCAGTCCTCCTAATTTGAAAAAAAAAGTCTGCACTGTGAACCGGGGTACGGGTGCCGTTCGGCCGGACCCGAAGTTTCACTTCAACTATAGGTGTTGCCTACGGTATTATTGTGCAGGGGTGAATCCACGATGTTTGCTAAGAGTAGGTTCGCGTACTTTGTCGCCTTTGGTGAAGCCATTTATTGTTTTGCCCTTAACAGCACAAGCAAAATAAGACCCGTGCACAATTATGCTCGTTAGGAGGTCTTCCAAGTTGGCCCCTAAAAGTTGGCGATGAGCGGTTTTAGTTTTGTTTTGTTTTTGCCTTTTTTAGGGGGGGGGGTGCCGTCAACCGCCCCTCTCGGGCCGGGATCCCGGTAGGGAGTAAACTGATCACCTCTGGGGCAATTCACCGTGCCACCAGCATCTCAACCTACAGGCACAGCAGATTGAGCACAAAAGTTAGAGAAAAGGCAGAAATAATAATAAAATAAAATTTTACAATGATGCAAGCCCATGGGCATGGCCAGGATTGTACTGGGGAGAGCTATTTCCTAGGTGGAAATTTCCAGGGGGGCAGACCACTGGATCTGGATGAATACTCTGAAAAGCTCAACTCAGATGCTCTTCAGCAATCCTTTTATCCCAATTGTCAAAGCTTTAAATTGATTTGAGATCCTTGAACAACAATAAAACCGACCAAGAAAAGAATCCACGATGTTTGCTAGCATTGGGCAACTCCTGGCAAACTTGGAACGCTTAGTGCATCCACTGCCAGTGCAGGAGGAATGAACCTGGACTTTTCTGCGTTCGTTCAGAACTTAATCTTCTTGCCCTGAAGGAGGTACTCAGTTACCGAAAGCTCGGCAATTGCATGTTTCAGAGCACTGATTTTATATTATATTCTTGTCAATGTTCTGATCACGGTGTTAGGCAGCCCTTCCATATTTCTAGAAAAGAATCCAGCTGGTCAAATTAATTGTGGACGTGTTACGAAAAAGAGTACATAAAATAGTCGTTTTATATCCGGTACAACACTTCGTTGGTACCCTGCGAATACGTAATACATGTACATGACCGACCAGGTAGGCCTATGTGTTAGTAATCTTCTACTGTTAATCATACACCTTTGCCCACCAACGTCTTATAAGTCTAGTCGTACGTATGTCGTGACCTGACATGTACAGTGTATATCGCGTAGGCAGTACAACGCGCTTGAAAATTCATCTTGTCAACAATATACCGTGGACACTTTTTCAGAACAGATGAAGAATGAATTAATATGTTTAGATATTACTATTGTCGGATGCGCTGGACATACTGCTCGTTAAACGTCCGAGCTGAATGTTGGAGTGAGCAGTTGTCCGGAAATCTTCTTCTCACCCCAAGCTCCTTACACGAACGAGACGGTGTCCTTGCGGATTTTCACGGCGGCAGGTGTCCAGTGAGCGAGAGCCTGTGGTACGGTAGCTAACGGTAGGACTGGGCTATTTGCGTGATCGCGTGGCACACGGCCCTGTCCTTCACACCATGAGAACGTGGACAAGATATATTGTTCTTCTCATCATTGTGACCGCAGGCTCCACGCTGTTGTACCTCAGTTTCAGCAATGGAAATGAAAACGATATTGAAACAGTTCAAGAAAATAAGCACGAAATATGGGACAGGTAACATTTCAAATTACATTGTTTACGTACTTATGGGGGGGGGCTGCATGTACATGTAGCCTACATACAGTGCATGTTGGCCTACACCACATTGATGGCGCATCTTTTCATATAGACCTCACACACCTGTACATGTAGTGTTGTGTAGGCTCTTGTACCCCCAGAACTGTGGGGTTTGACGTCGGCTGCGCTCCACGTTTGCGGGAGTGCAGTGGACGTCCAACCATCCTTGTACACTTTATTTTAATGTGGAAATTTAATTTGTGAAAAATACCCGTAGTTAGGCATGTATTTTCCATTGTGTTGTCCTGATACCAACAATAATGCCTCAGAATTTCACAGCATTAGAAAAATGCACAGACCCTATGAAACTCAATTTCATGGGGAGGGTGTCTTAGAGATGAACAGTGTCACATGGTTTCTAGTCCCCCTCCCGCGTACTGGTTATCCCCCACCCACTTACTTGCCAGCACAGATGTACGCCAGTTTCTTTAAGCTTGGATGCTATTTAAAAATATTTACCCACCATACTTTCTAGAAACCACAGGACGCCCAGAGTTATTAATTAAGCCAGGTTTATACCTGTTCAAAATTCTGTGCAGGTTTTGGTCTTACTGATCATGCTGATCATGGATCATGGATGTGTGGCTGTTGGGCATGATTGATATATCTCAGTGATAGTGCTGTGCTATTTAACAGCACTATCACTGAGATACGGCTGTTGAAGATTTTCCTGAGAAGGCGATGTGAAGTCCGAGATTTTGTCCAGGATCCACTGATAGCACAGGGTGATTGACATGTACACGAAGCACGCATCCACTGATCACGCCCAGCGCGGCCACAGAGCAGACCCTATTTACATGTTCTGTGAATGCTGATGTACTCAGTCATTCTTTCATTGAAAAGTATGACTGTTCTCATGAAAAACAAAATTTCCCTGACTATCTTTTACTTAACATTCCAGATTGGCCTCAAATACTGTCTTATCTCATGCATATATGTGGTGCTTGAGGGCCTGCGTGCTACACTGCAATGCCAGAACAGTCACACTGGATGCAAAGTGCTCATCAAACCAGTCTCTTGGTCCATGTATAGTCAAGCTTCTCTAGCATCCTTCGTGCTGCATACCCATGCACCCGATTTGATGACATTTAGTCCAGCCATCCCCTGTACTTACATGTACCGTTACACGTTTTTTTCCTTCCTTACTTTCCTTTTTAATATTGATGAGGATTGCGAATAGGCAGTACTTGAGATGGTTAAAACTAAAAGTATATTTGCACTAGTTAGGTGATAAAATTTTATGGGAAAGTGGGTTGAATGCTTGTGTTTAAAAATCAGATTTTTCTGTGTATTTTTTACGTGAGCAAACGTTTGCTGGATGTGAATAATTCAGAATCCTCTTGCAATTAAAATACACTGTTAAAAACGAAACATATTACTGCATGTGATATATGTTAAGACTCGTTAATGCCACATGAAACATTTAAACCAAGTTCTTGTCGCTTTTGTCTAGTTGCTAGAAACACTGGAGTATGGCACACATGCTTCCTGTCCAGCTGGGCATACACTGATACAGAAAAATTGCAACAAAAATGGAACTGTGCACTTCCAGATGTCACTAGTTTGTTGACATCATCCGCAAAAAAAAATGTCCGTGTGTGTGTAAAAGCTGATAATAAACAACTGATTTCAAATATTTGACTTTGCACAAATTACAAATTGTGCGAAAGAATTAATATTTAATTTGGCCTTAACCCCTTCTGGAAAGACGCTGCGGGAATGACACTCATTGATTTTTCCCCCCTTAATTACACATACTTCCAGCCAAACATTTTATCAAATTTTATGGACTATGTGCATGAGAACCCTAATAATGAAACTGTGAACTACGTGTTCTTGTTTCACTTTGTATTTTGGCTGCTTCTGCAAAGCTTTAGTCTGCCTATGTAGAGCATGATGAATTCACGCGTAATAACATTACATGTGTGGGAACAGGTTTGAGAGGTCACACTTCTGGTCTGGTTCCTGCTCTCGTTTTGTGAGACCAAGCCTTATAAATTTGTTATAATTTTCACACAAAACCTTACCTACTTATACCCAGCAAGAAATGAGACCAAGGGGTACCCCCCAACATNNTTCTCTCCGTCTCATACCTTGCTGCATATGTGCCTTCTCACATAGACCTGTAAGTAGATGGTGTAGTGTTTCAACCTGCCTATGTATAACATTTAAACAGTGCCCTCTCAGTGGGGTAATTGTGTGCCAGGAACTAGGGCACAGGTGATTGTGAGGGATGAATTGTCCAGCCATTTTAAAGGGGGAGTGCTGACACCATGTGACACTAGGAGCGATGTTCCTGATACAAATGAACATCTGTAATATATGACACTCCAGCATAACCTTACATCAACACAGTGTATTAATGGCTTTGTTTCTCCTTGAGTGCTATTAAATATATTTTGGTGGTTGGGAACTACTTAAATTCTTCACAGTCTGCCTTCATTTTTTCTCACCAGGAAAAAGTGGGGTATGATTCAATAGCTCATCCCCCGGTCAAAAAAATGCAGAGAGTATATAACCCCTCCCCCAGGATTTATGCCCATAAGCCCTCTTTCAGTACTGGTTGGGAATCTATTAGGAAAGTTCAAGTGATGACCACTTGTCAATTTTCCCAAGTAACCTGTGCAGAAAATGTATCCTTCCTACCAGGCAAGATCGACTGGTGGTTGACAGATGTTTTTTTTTCCTTCGAGCATGCCCATTGCTGTGCCTGTGTTCCTTCTTTCCCGCATAAAAGTTTTGGAGGATTTTGACCGACTGAGGAAGTTACACATGTATTGCCCTACTTCAGTTAGCTTACAATGTGGGAATGTAATGACCCTCAAAAGTTGAAGTGCACAAACTTTGGATGTAGTTTCCCCCATTGCTGCAAGTTTTGTAGAATCGATAGGCAAGTTTGTAGAATTGAAATTTTAGTTCCAAAAAAATCTGTGATAATTGGGGTTGACTTGAAACACTGTGGTTACCCAAAAACTTTTAATTTATTTTAAATTTGCTTTTCTTCCTCAGCCAACACCAGCAAGCCCAACCAATCGGGGGAGGTCACCATGATCAGGAGGGTGGGCATGCCGGAAAGCAAAGGGAAGGATTCTTCAGCCAGTTTGCCAACATTCCAAGGTGGAAGAAGCGGGACCATGCCTGGAATGGGCTGGCCTTTGCCAATGAGGTGGAGCAGCACCGGGCAGCCTACTCCAGGCGTCCCAGCAGCAAGAGCCCATTCCTGGATCAGATGCGGTGTACGCCTCGCCACAACATCACATTCCTCAAGGTGCACAAGACAGGCAGCAGCACCCTTCAGAACATCTTCCTGCGCTATGGCCAGCGCCACAAGCTGACCTTTGTGCTGCCTCCGCAGGGCCACCACCTGGGCTTCCCGGACTTCTTCGACCGCCACCACATGTTGCCAGTGGAGAACGGGATCTACAACATCTTCTGTCACCACGCCCGATTCAGCCAGGTCGTCATGGACATCATGCCGCCCAATTCCATCTACATCAGCATCCTGCGAGATCCTGTCCATGTCTTTGAGAGCGCTTTTACGTACTTTAAAATTGCTCCACGCATCAACATGGGCAACGATGCTGACGCCATGGCCAAGTTTCTTGAAGACCCCGTCACTTATTATGAAAGTGCACCGAGCACAGTGCACATGCGCAACAACATGCTGTACGACTTTGGCGTGCCCACTATAAAATTTGATGACACGGACTTCATCGAGGAAGCAATCCAGCTGATTGACAAGCAGTTCTCCTTGATTCTGATTGCCGAATACTTTGAGGAATCACTGATCCTGCTCCGAGACGCCCTCTGTTGGCGGACCGAGGACATGGTGGTGTTCAAGATGAACACCCGCAAGAAGACAGCAGTGGACACATTAGGGACAGACTTGCAGAGCAAGATCCGCACCTGGAACAGTGGAGACACGCTGCTGTACGACCACTTCAACAAAACGCTGTGGCACAAGATCGAGCAGTACGGAACGGAGCGGATGGCCAGGGAGGTCAAGGAACTTCGGGCATTGACAGAGAGTTACTACAAGCTCTGCATTAAAACAGACACAGCCGACAGAAAGGAAGGGGTGTTTGACGTGTGGCAACCCCCAGGAGTTAAGATCAACGCCTTTGTGCTCAAGGAATCGGCCAGCCACAACCCCATCTGCGAGAACATGGTGCGGCCGGAGATTGTCTACACAGCCCAGTTGCGAGAGGCTCAGTTTCCCAATCGTTCTTTTCGGAAATTTCAGCGTAACTGGAGGAGACGAAGACCCCCGGTAATTTAGGATTTAGAAAAAAAATCTGAATGTGTAATGAAGATGCCATCCAATCCGGACGAGGAGGGTGCATCCTTGCAGGGTGCATCCCTGATTGGGGGGGGACACATGTAATATTCATCGTGCTGTACACAAACAGTGTAAAGGTATGCACATGTATGTACATGTA